CATCGGAATATTCAGAATTTCCTCTCCCTTCTCACCAACTAAACCACCCAATAATACATAGCCCAAAGCCCCAGCCTTCGAGGCCTTAACAGTTTAATATACAGACAAGTAAGGAGACGGACTACCAGCGAGCTTCTCAGGAGATAAAATCATCCTCTTTTCGCAGCAATCAATCATTGCGCAATTTTAAGACAACCAGTCCATACCCAAAATCAAATTAACCAAGGCCAGGGGTAAGACAATTATATTAACAGTGTAACCCCTGCCTTCATACACAAACTCAACTTCTTTACAAATGAATGAAGAATCACTAACCTCTCTTGTAGCAGTAGTAATATGCATAGGGGGTCCATCTTTTCTACCTTTAAATTAAACCCCATAGCCACATATTCTGCAATGAAAGAATGTGTCGCTCCAGAATCAAACAAAACAGATAAGTCATGATTAGCAATGAAAATTATACCTTTTACCAAATTCGATGCCTTGTCAGTTTGCTGCACATTGGTAGTATACACACGTCCCACAATAGGATTTGATGACAAGGCCTGCAGATTTGTAGCCTGCCCAACATTATTATAATAGTCTCTAGCATAATGGCTAACCTTGCCACACTTAAAACAAGAATTTGGAGCTGCAATACATGAACCTCTTGCATTTCTCACGCTGAGGAGTAGAATTCATGTCATTGAATCAACCACTAGGGGCACCACCCCTCTTGAACTGAATAGAAGGTTGCCTTACTTGCAAACCTTTACCTCTATTGTTGTTGTTATTACCTTTCCAATTTGAACCAGAAAGACTAGCCATCCTTTTTACCTCTTGATCATGGGCAAAATTAGGTTTGGAATACCTACCATAAACAGTTTCCACTCTTTTATAGCAAAATTTCTCACCGTCGTATTAGATATGTACTTGGCAATATTTTCATTGATCCATCTCTGAAATTTAGCAGATAATAAGAATTCTAGGGTAGGCAGAGTACCCTCATGATTGGCAAACTTGACCAATTCATTGAACTTGGTCACATACGCATCTACAGATAAAGAACCTTGCATTAACTTGTCAAATTCCCCCTGTTTAGCTTCCCGAACATCCCTGTAAAAGTATTCCTCATGAAAAAGACCTTCAAAAAGGCCCAAGTAATTTCTTCTCCTTGAATAATAAATGGACAAGACATATTGCACCACCACTCGTGGGTGTCTCCTTCCAGCATATAAACAGAATACCTGAGCTTATGAGGATCTTAACACCTCATAACCTGGAAGATCTTTTCCATACCCTGTAACCAAGTAGTGACAACTATCGGGTCTTTAGACCCTAGAAAAGTAGGAGGCTTGTGTTTACGGAAAGAAATCAGTCTTATCTCCTCAGCATCACCCGCATCAAACTGCTCCGCAACTACAGGAGGCTCAACAATCACATTAGGCTGACTAGCATCACTAGTGTGATGGCTAGCTCCACTCTCCCCCTATTGGGGAGTAACAGAGGGCGTAGGTGTAAGAGTCACCGTAGCCGTGTGGGAAGGAGAATCAACCCTCCTATTGGCCGCTCTCTCGGCCATCATCTCAGTCATTTTGCAGCAAATCCTGGTTTGCTTTCATCAGATTTTTTGTTGTAGTCCTATTGGGAGCTGCTTGGTCGAACCGAGAGCTGCTCGGGAATATTTCTTTCAGAGAGCAAGAATGTAGAGTAGTAATCAGGATTTCCAACAGGAGCAATCTACTCTGACTAAGAGCAACCCTCTTCAACTATACGCAAGCGTACGTGTCAAGCAATATAGGGTATTGTAGCCCCAGACTTATCGTCCTTAGGGAGCAGTTGTGAAGTAAGAAACGCTAAAGGAAACTTAATTTGTAAAGTGGAGCAATAAAAGGAATTACTATTCTCAGCTAAGCTTCACAAAGAGCAATCTCTGGGCAGCTAGTTAAACAATGTTAACCATTCTGAACCAGATGAGAGCAGTGAATGACTTAGCACGGTCATCGAATAAAAAGGCATCAATTGAAGTAACTTTAAGAGCAGTCAACGAAATGAAAGTAAGAGCATCCGCTGGTAAAATACAGTTCAGTTATCGTGAGGAAAATGTTGTGATAGAAGTTGAGTTAAGATTAATTTCAGAAAGAAAAAGATCAAGTAGGTGTTACGGGTTCCATGTTTTCATCCCTTTGGTTAACCCTGCCTGGTAGCATATTTTACAAGTGGATTTTGCTCCTTCCCTTGTTTAGCTATAGGTAAGCAGAGGGTAAGGCCTTACTCTCCACGTTACTCCATAGTACTTGGAATTATATGCAAGGAAACCATGCTGCCTTCTCAAAAGAGCATGGATTCACATGGCAGTGCTCCCCATTCCAGGTGTTTCTCCCTCCTTTCTTCAGGCTAAACTACCCCAGGATTTTGAGAATGCTCCACACGCCTTTGTCAGTGTTTCATCAACCGAGTGGTCCCGGGATGAGGTTGCCAGCCCAAAGGGTTTCACAAAATCAATAAATTAAACCAAAGAGCAACTCAAAATTCATTTATAAAATATGTGTTCCTTACAAAGCTACCCTAAGACAAAAGGGATTACTTCTATGGAATCCTCACCTACTTAGAGGAAGTTAGCTCCTAGTGAGCATTTTTACAAAAAAAGAAAACAAAGAGACAACGAGTCCTAGGATGGGTGCTGATTATTCCCTTTATGAGGATTGCTTGTTCCTTTTACAGGGTTCTTCATTTGATCTCCATTGTTCCTTTCATCAAGGGTCATGCTTTGTCTAAATCCTCTCCAATGGTAGCTTTGCTTCTTGCCAGCTTGGCCTTAAATGGAAGTGGTCCCCCTTGCTTTTGGCTCCCTTTGTGAGAAGGAGTATCGGATTCAGGGAGGCACCTCCACTCCTTCTGCTGTAGCTGACGTGGCGGCTCCCCATTGCTCAGCTTCTTTGCTTTCGTACTGTAGCAGAGGCAGCACCTCCACCTTCTCTGCTGTAGCTGACGTGGCGGCTCCCCATTGCTTCCTTTGACTGCTGTTGTACTATAGCAGACTTCTTTTTCCTTTCTGCGCAACACTCCTTCTTCTCTCTTCATTTTGTGGTTCCTTTTGATGGGCCTTAGGTGTCCTGAACAAAGCAAACTAACCCAATAGTCATATGTGAAAAAGATAATGTTAAATTTGCTCCAGGTCTACCTTAATTCCCACTTTCGGCATTGCTCTGGTCCACTATTCAAAACAGTTGCTCTATATGAAAAGAAGAAGGTTAAAGGGAGTGATTTATAACCAAAACATGGGTTTTGTGGAACAATTTACACTTAATGGGCCTCAACTCTTGAGGACTATCAGGAGCCATTTTCGTCTGCAAAGCAATCAACACTGTAGTAACCGGATCAGGCGGTGGCGGATCTGTATTATGTGCCACACGGTTTCCCCGAAGTCTCCTCATGATAACTGTACATGTAACACAAAGAAATGAGCTGATCAGACCCACGTTTATGAATCACATATACAATAATCATAAAAAGTCTACAGACAACTACACAGCACAAAACACACTCATACAATAATTAGAGTTTCCTAGTAAACTGCTCTGATACCAAATGATGTAACACCCTGTTACTAGACCGGTCTGTTAATATTGATTATGATATTAAGCGTAGTTACAATCACAACAATTTATTTAAAAATACGAAAAAACTTTTTCTTTTTATTACATATTCGATTTAAATAACCGTAAAATGCAATTATACAAACTATGATCGCAATTGAAATCTAAACGCAGAAGTAATACTCTAAATGCTAATTATCATATAGCACTTATTTTAAGTTGCTAAGAGGTTCCCATAAACTAACATAGCACAAAACTCATTTTTCCAACTTTACCAAAGCAAAGTGTGCTTCGTTTTTATTAAGACTGGGCATGATCTTCTCATCAATAAATTCTCATCTTTTAGTATGTTAAACTAGACTCTTCCACCTTTCCAACAAGGTATCACACGCCTTATTTGGAGTTCTCTAGCTCCGGTTAGCTGTTTGAAGTCAGACAAACAAAACTACTAACTGACCTCAAACAGGGCACCTAACATCCCTCACGGTTTCTGTAATTCCCAATGTTTCACTCAACCAATTTCTCTCAATTGTTTATAAAGAATAGTGACACCTATATCTTCAATTTGGTATATCATAAGCTTAATCTGAGTAAGATATAAGGTGGATATTAATTTTGGAAAATGCAACCCGAGACTAGTGCCCAATAGGTCTGCAGTAGGCAGTCTCCACTCATTTTGATCTACAGGGCGCTACATAACTCCAACAAAATAAACTTCTTGGAGTGAAAGAATCGTATAACTTGGTCCTAATTCTTGACGGTCATATTCGCCATGATAGTATGTAACACAAATGAAGTTGCCTTTACTTATCTCTAACAACATAGGAGAAATTGCAAATCCAATTGATCTATTTCATAAATTTTTGGAAAATTCAGAAAAAATTTATAAATAGGGAAAATAAAATACTCCACCTAATTTATTTTTGGGACAATAAATACTATTAGAAATCCTAACTTTTAAAAATTCAAGAGTTAAAGAAAAATAATCTTAGCCAACATGTGGTGGCACATGTGGCTAAGGAGTCGACCCATACCCCAAAAGGGCGTGGGTTCGATTCCCTCTGACCGCTTTGAGGCTCATGTTAGTGGATAAACTGTAAAGCGAGCTTTCTTTCCGCTGTCCCTGACGTAAATCCTCATAGAGGTTGAACATGTCTGTCCTGACCCTAGTGAGTTACATACCAGTGTCTCCCCTATCAAAACTTTTTTGTAAAAAAAAAGAAAAAAGAAAAACAATCTTAGTCAGTTTACAACCATCCAAAACTTACGGACACCATTGAATGGATTACTTACAAACCATCTCATGAATTTGAGTGTCAATTGCGATTTGGTTTGTTTTGTCTTGTCTTTTTTTCTTCTTTTTTTTCTCGATTTCACAAATATGAGTATGACATTAACATTTGCTAGACAAGGATCCCGAAAGGCAACAATTTTACGCATAAGATAAAGTAAAACATAACTACATGAAGTACTATTATACAAATGTTAGTGAGACTAACAGACCTAAATTCTTAATGATTGGAGAACATCAATCTTCCTGGTTTTTTTCTTTTAACTTTAATTTGTCTCCCCATTTCTATTATGGGTAGAAGTTAGAACACTCTAGTTTTTGGGGTGGGTATGAAGGGTGTGCCAAATTCTGAAACTGTTAAGTATCCCTAGGCCAAGGGTACAGAAGCATTAAATATTTTTAACTCGGTGGTAAAGAGTTCAAAGATGCATCCGCTAGTTCCATCAGAAATGCAACAACATCATCTGAGGTTCCAAGTGTATACCGAGCTTTTGTTCGTGTTCGCCCAACAGCACATGAGAAGTAATTCTCTTTCTTAAGGTCAAGGACGTTCCATGATACCTTTTCAGGAGCTGGTTGCCATGGTGCATTGCAGATATGGTTACTCGTTTTCTTCTCAGAATTCGACACTGGTCGCTGTGCCTTATTTTGAGATGACTTTGGTCCATTTGTACTAGCTGGGATCTTCAAAGATGGTCTCTTCTCAACAGGAAACTTAACTCCATCTGTTACTTTGCTTCGTGGAAGACCCACACCAATAGAAGGAAGATCAGGCTCAAAAAAGGCATAAATATCTTCATCCTGTTACAATCAATAATGTTAAATCCGGTTGCTCCAAAGTCCAAAGTAAACTATACAGTTCAAAAGGATCAAACTTTAACAACTGTAAGACAATGGAGAAATATCAAATAATCATATAGAAGAAAAAGGTAGAACTGAATACATCAAATCAAACACAATACATGTTGAACTTAACCCGTTTTTAGAAGACTAAGATCTTAAAAATGCAGATTTTCATCACAGAAAGCAGATGTTACCATTACGAGTGAAGCCTGACCAGTAAATTAGCAGCAAGTAAAATACTAAAATTTACTACAGAAACTAGATTTTTGACAGTTGTTGAGATAGGAAGCACATAAAACAATCATTAGTGGATGGAGATCAGAATTTTTTCACAAATTAGAACTCATAGTGTGATCAAGAGTTTGCAGTGAATATATCACAGTGACTATATGAATTAAAGGGAAACGGAGTGGAATAGGACATTTGCAATAGTATATTATAAAGCCAAAATTTCTCTTCCTACTTCAGAAAAGCTTCTTTGAATTTCATCCTACAATATTCATATTTTAAGCTTGAACTTATTTCGTTTTCTAACATAAGAAAAGTTTGTGCAGAGTAGTCTTGCATGTAATGAGAAATAATTTCCGCATGCTAAAAAAGAATATAAAGACATGAGATAAACAATATAATAAAAATAATTTTCAAAACATATTAGTAATAAATGAAAATTCAAATCACCTTCCCCAGAAAATGTCCTATACAAAGAACATAATCAATTGGTGATGTCATGGATTTACTGTGGACTATCTCACCCAGGATGCGGTCAATAGCGGCACCCTGATTAAAAAACAAACGTAGACATTTAAATATGTATGAAAAATTTCAGGTGAAAATATAACATAGGTCAATTATAAGAAACAAGAGGTCACCTTTGTAACACCAACAGCTCGCACCTCAACAGATCGACTCCCTTGAACAACATCAACTGAAGCATTAGAAATTGGACCTGTCCAGAGATGCTGCAGCATGTCTCTTGCTTGAAGTCTTCCAAACTCAACATCTGGTTGAGATTATATTGATAGGATCAGTAACCAGAAAGACAGCTGGAAAACCAAAAAATCTCTATAGGAACAAATCAAGCACCTGCGTATTTGTAATTCCATACAAGTGAAGCCTCCCTTTCTTCAAAATATGATCGAGGTGTTCTTTCTCTGAAGTACTCAAAAACATGCTGAAATGCAGGATCAGCAAGGAAGGTCAAAAACATGGAGAGAGGGACAACAAAAGAATTAAAACTTCAAAATGAGCACCTTCACACTGTCAACCCATTCCATATTCAGATGTTCTGGCATTGTTGTCATCCATTCACCCTTTGAAGGGTGTAAAAACATCCCATTCTCTGCTGCCAACCACATGTCATATTCTTTGAAGTTCTGTTGTAGGAATATGTTAAAAAATGGATTGATATAATAGTCCACAAATAAAGGAAGTAATGTGCCAAGAATTACATTATCTAGGACATTTCTACTACTTCCACTGAGCACAACAACAGTGGTATTTGGGTCACTGCAAAGTGCTGTCAAGGGTTTTCTCAATTCTGGATGCACCTTAAGTTCCATTTCTTTAATCTGATCACCTGTTTTCTCGACTGGTTCAGTTAAAGTTCCATTGAATCCCTGTACAAGTGTCAAGAGGAAATGCTAATACAAAAATTCATAACAGATGCTAGAGGTCATGATTTATTATTAGTGAAATATTGTAAAAAAAATAAAAAAATATCCAGCTTTCAATGACAACTGTTTTGCTCCAGCTTGAGGGGGAGAGTAGTGAATATTTTAAGTAGAGTAATATATTATGAGGGATGAAGACCCATGTCGTTATTATTCTTTTTGTAATTATTGTATTCAGTTATATAACAGAGTCACTGGCATGTAATTGTGACACACGGATTACATCATATGACTCTTGTTTTCTTGTAATTCAACAAGCACAACAGATTTAGTAGTATAATAGGTATTCGACCAAGCAACAATATGACACAGAATACGAACCACTCAATTAATTGAAGCAACAGTAGCAAAATAGAAGATCTAAAGCAGCATTTGAGATAAGAAAAAGCATGCATGAAACGGAAAGGAAGGTGTTTGACAAACAATCAGAAAGCAAAATGAAAATATTGATTAACTAAGTTTCACTGGTTAATTACTAGTTCAGTATTGTCTGTCATATTCCCATGACTCAAGCCACCTAATTTTGAAATCAAAATGACTTCTGTACTCATTTTTATCTGGACATGAGAACCCGTCAGGCTTCACTATCCTCACTTGTCACTACAGTTAGAATATTATGATTTTTATTATATTAAGAATCCTGTTAGCTCAGTAGTTTCATTCCCCTGGACTTGTGTATTAGTAGCACTACTCTACACTAGCATTTCACTCAATTATTTGGTTAAATAGAATTATTTGGTTAGTAATTTGTATCACATCCACCTCAAATCAATCTAATATTATTGAGAGCCTCGTTTCTCTCTTTTTCCTCTTTTCCAGCTAAACCCTACAATTTCAAGTTTAATGACTACAAATAGGCACCAATCTGGCACTTAGCTCAAATACCCTACTCTTGCACAGTTGCACTCTCTTTTTCACTATATAATCCAGGAAATGAAGCAAGTAGTGTTTATTAAGAAACACTGAGATAAGGAGTAAAAGACAAGGAAACAAGAAGACGCATTCAGAGAAGTCACAAGCTTCATTGTCAGACAGCATACCAAAATAAGCAATCGATTAGTTGACTGCAGAAAACGTTCCATTGCAGTCTTGGTTGGAAGCCGGGGCGGAACTTGTTTTGTCCTTAGTTGTGCCTCAATAACAGTATCATTTAGTTCGCTGCAAATATTTAAAAGATTCATTACAGTAATGTGGATCTCTCCTACAAATCAAAGCAAGAGACGTACTTTTTACTAACATATTTTGGTTGATAAATTACAATTGCACACCATTGTGTCTTTTCTACTATTCCTAAAATACAAAAGTATCAAGTAAATAACCATCATATTTAAGCATGATGCCATCTGCATTACTTTGCAGATTTATCACAGGCAACAGAAGTCTTAAGATACAACAAAGGCTAGGACTGTAATTAAGTAATAAGGACAAGCAAACAACTGCTAATAGATTTATGAACAACCACTAGAATTATGGTCCATAATCTAAATTACAGACTCTTTGAATCAGTATGTATAAAGTTAACATGTTCTATTTGGATGAATTACACCCATTACAAATGAAAAACTTTAATATATAAGAAAACATATTCAAAATTCCAAGGGTATTGTTTACGTGTAGAGGTGGCAATATGGGTTGGCTCACCCCGACCTGCCATCAACCCATTTTTGGTGGGTTGGCGGGTCAACCCGCCAATTAAAAAAATAATAATTAAAATTCAAAAGTAAATTATATTTTATGAATTTTATAATATTATTTAATTTTATTTCACTCCTCTTAATTTTTTCCAATCTCAATCTTAAATGTATACTAATATTCGGTTAAACATTCTTTAGGAACTCATTTGTCTCCATATATAGATAACATTTGTCATAAATAAAGTTTTTATTATTTATTTATTCCAAGGAATACTAAGATAAAAAAATTTTGGATATCACAAAAACTCAGTGACAAATAAAATACTACTTAATTGTATAATAATAATAATAATAATTATTATTATTATTATTATTATGGCCCAACGGGTTGAACCCATTTTGACCCAACGGGTTGGCGGATTGACCCGCCGGGCGCAAGGGTTAACATATCAAAAATAGAAGCTATTGAATGAAATGTACAAGCATTTAATATCAAGAAAATCCAAAAAGTATTTGACACTTCTTCGGTAAATAATTAGGATCAGTAATAAATGCCATTTGTATTCCTTGACATGTGCCTTTACGGCGCACGTTAACAAATCCAAATATAACAATATGCATACCTTACAAAAGTTCCTGCCCATTCTTGAGCAGTGTGGGATTTTACATGAAGAAAATTATGCTTGTGTCTCTTTTCTCTTTCCACAGATGGCATATTTAGAGCTCTGGCAATTGCATCAGCGACTTCTGTGATGTTCCAAGGGTTGACAAGAATTGCCCCAGCACCGAGAGACTGTGCTGCACCAGCAAACTAGAAAAGCGTACCAAAAATCAGGCATCAGATCAACATTATACATATCTAGTTACATGAAAGAAATATGTTGAAGTAAATATATGCATACCATAGATGAAAGCTTTCTATAAACCAAGATTGGAACTATAAATCTATGATCATGACAGGAATAAAGAGATGAAAAATCGATATCCATCATTTATTCAAACCACTTTAAATGATAAAAGTGTAAGCAGATTGCCAAGAGCTGTAAGAAGCTTAATATTGGAATTAAAAGAAATTTATATAATTTGATTAAGAAGAGTGTGATGGCATATCAAATGGACAATATATAATACAACTCGAATTTCTTCCATGGTGTTTGGCTCATCTCCCTAAAAAGATAATTTGCAACAACCTAAAAGATAACTGATCGAAATAACAATTTTTGAAATCCTTTTTTCTCTAGGAGGGGGTTGTATGAATGTTTATGGTATCATCAAGGACCGATTCTCCAAGAAAATTTAGTTTTCAGGTGAAGGCTCAAGATTGGTTTTATATCTCTTACACAATCCCATTTTTTAGTTGTTAGTTGAAGGCTCAAGATTGGTTTTATATCTCTTATGCAATCCCTCACACAAGAATCATTTGGACCGTGGATAATGTACATGCCCAATCTACCTTATGTGTAAATTCAACGTTTAATTGGAACAATGGAGGCAGTAACAATTGAAATCTTGATCACTTAGTCATATAGGTACTCATACCATGTCAACAACCAAACTCTCCTAAAAGCTTAAGCTGTTATGTGAAGGTTCAATCTTGGTTTTATATCTCTAACATGGACTACTATTGACAGTTTTTCCAACAGTTGAATTGATCTCTATTATACAAGAATTCAACCATAACATAGGCCGAATTGACAAATTGAAATAAAACATAAATATACTAATAAGTTTCTGAGTTACTTCACTAAGAATGAGATTGACAAATTAAAATAAATATATAAATAAACTAAAAATTCCTGTAATTACTTCACTAAGAATGAGAACCCCTTTCTTTTTCTCCTGGCAGGCCACAAATTCATAGCTGACAAGATTCATTCCATCCCTCAAAGATGTGACTAGTGCTACATCTGGGTAAGAAATAGTGGGTATAAATACGACATTAGCAGAAAACTTATGAAAAGAACTGAATGTCAAATTTTAATGCTCCAAAGGCAATCAAAAAAATCAAGAACATGTGTCTTAAAGGAGAAATTAAAAAAAGTTTTAAATGCTTTAAAAAACAAAAGAATATAAACAAGAAAAGAAAAGAAAACTTCAACTTTTATTATATTGTCTCCATTCAATATATTTTGTTTGATTGAAAAGTGAAAGATATAGAAGAAGAATCAAAATGAAGAGTGAGAGTTGGCTGATAAAGTATAAACCAATCACTTATCAGCTTCCCTATGCATCCCCCACCAACACCACCGTCCCTAATAAATGAGGCCTCACACATAGTCCATTCCTTAAACTGAAACTGCAGGTAACTTATGACAGTATGTAATAGTTTAGCAGCATTCCAGCTCCACACTCTTTTTTAATTAAAACTGTTTTAAAACTCTGCAATAGGTCTGCACATGATCTCATCAGGATAATAACCCATTAAGCACTTATTTTGTATATATAATTTTTTTTTGTTTGGGGGGGGGGAGGGGCGGCCATCACCCCCAGCCCCCCTAATTCCGCCTCTGGATTGTATGTCTCATGTATGGTTATTTGCATAAAATGTTCTGTTTTCCGCTTTCATAAACAAGGCATCAAATGCCAGCAGCTACTAAAAATGTTAAAATGTTTCCTTTTCATAAACAAATAAGCATAAATATATGAAAATGAGTGAATAGAAAACATCATGACCTGGTGAAGAATGCAATCTTCTAATAAAAAAAAATATAATCAAGACAACTAGCATAACACGGATGCTTCGCAGAAGCAATCAGATTTTAACACCATGAGATAACTCACAGGCTGCAGTTTGGATGCTAGGGAAACCACTCTCAAATAATAACTTCAAGGCCGTTTATAACCCTTTGGTGTGTCAGATAAATTTATGCATAAAGAGCAAAGAAAAACCAGAAAAATGTTTACAACATTTCAAAGCAAAACTTAAAAGGAAAGCTGAGCCCCTAGATTTTCCTCTTTAATTTCAATAAATATAAAAAAAGCATAAAGAATCATTTCTAAAAGCATACTGAGAATGAACTAAAAAAATAAAATAAAAAATAAAAGCACACTGAGAAAGAACTTTCAATTTTAGATATATAGTTAAGGAATACAACTTTGTACATGCTGATGATTGACATATTGACAAGAGAAGCTATTCACAGAAAAGCTCTCAATCAAAAGAAAAACTCGAAAAGAAAGAACTTGAAAAGTAGGATGTATTATGTGAAAATTGTTAATTACAAATGTATAAGAGCTCTCTATTTATAGAAGCTGAATGACCTAATGGGCTAAGCCCAAAGAAGATTCTAGAATAAAAAATAAATAAAAATAAATAATTACGATACAATTATTTACAACACTCCCCCTCAAGCTGAGGAATAGATATTTATCATTCTCAGCTTGCTAGTAAGCTCTTGAAATCTATATGAGCGAAGTCCCTTCGTCAAAATATCAGTCAATCGACGCCCAGAAGGAATGTATGGAGTGACGATCTACCCGCTATCCAGTTTCTCTTTAATGAAATGACAGTCGACCTTAATATGCTTAGTCCGATCATATTGAACTGGATTATGAGCTATACAAAAGGCTGAATTATTATCACAAAATAGCTTCATAGGTGCTTCATATTTTATTTTAAGATCATCAAATATAATCTTCAACCACAATAACTCACAAATGCCTTGAGCCATAGCTCGAAATTCAGCCTCTGCACTTGACCTGGCAACCACATTATGTTTCTTACTCCTCCATGTCACTAAGTTACCACAAAGGAACATACAATAACTAGTAGTAGATCGACGGTCATTCACAGATCCAGCATAATCGGCATCAGTATAAACTTGTAAAGAGAGATTGCCATCACGCCAGAATAACAATCCTATACCGGGAGTGGTTTTAAGTTACTGAAGAATTCTCTCTACTGCTTGGATGTGTTTTTCTTTTGGATTATGCATAAACTAACTCACAATACTAACAGTATAAGCTAGGTCTGGTCTAGTATGAGCCAAATATATCAGTCTCCCAACTAGCCGCTGATATTGTCCTTTACCAACTGGAGAACTCTCTTCTTCATAACCAATCTTGTGATTCTGCTCAATAGGAGTACTAGATGGTTTACACCCAAGTTTTTCTGCTTCTTTAAGAAGATTCGGGACATGTTTCCTTTGACTGATAAAAATTCCTTCCTTTGAATGAGCTACCTCTATCCTTAGAAAATATTTAAGTCTCCCAACTAGCCGCTGATATTGTCCTTTACAAACTGGAGGACTCTCCTCTTCATAACCAATCTTGTGATTCTTCTCAATAGGAGTTCTAAATGGTTTACACCCAAGTTTTCCTGCTTCTTTAAGAAGATCCAGTACATATTTCCTCTAACTGATAAAAATTCCTTCCTTTGAATGAGCTACCTCTATCCCTAGGAAATATTTCAATCTCCCAAGGTCTTTAATCTCAAATTCAGAGGCTAGTCGTGCTTGTAGAACATGTCTCTCCGCAATATCATCCCGTTATAATAATATCATCAACATACACAAGGAGCACAGTAAGCTTTCCATCTTGGGAGTGCTTAAAAAAAAGTGTGTGGTCTCCTTGACTCTGTTTGTATCCTAAGGTCATCATAACCTTAGTAAACCTCACAAACCAAGCACAAGGAGACTGTTTCAATCCATACAAGGCCTTCTTTAACCTACAAACTTTATTTTCTCCATCCATAGAGTCAAAACCATACGGGATTTTCATGTAAACTTCTTCTAATTCACCATTAAGGAAAGCATTCTTCACATCAAATTGATTTATATTCCAATTGTGATGGGTAGCAAGGGACAACAAAGCTATCACAGTATTCATCTTTGCAACTAGGGCAAAAATTTCTTCATAATCAATGCCATAGGTCTGAGTGTAACCCTTGGCGACTAATCGAGCATTATATCTCTCAAGAGTACCATCAGAATTGTACTTTAGGGGAAAAAATCCATTTTCTCCCTACTGTTTTCTTTCCATTGAGTTTATCAACAACCTCCCATGTTTTATTCTTCTCCAAGGCATTCATCTCCTATTGCATGGCCTGAACCCAATTCTTATCTTTTAATGCTTCGTACACTGATTTTGGGATGGAGATGGAATTTAGTGCTGACATAAAGCTTTTGTGCTACGTAGAAAGGTTAGTAGAAGAAACAAATTGAGAGATAGGGTATTGGGTGCAAGATCTTTTTCCTTTTCATAAGGCAATAGGTAAGTCATTCGAGACACTAAGTAAATTATCAGAAGCAATGGGTAAGTCATCAGAGACAATAATATCATGTTCAGAAAAAAAAGATTCGGGACTTACCAGTGATTCAAACGATTGAGATTGCTGGTGAAGGAGTATGGGTTGTTTCCTCCTCTAATATACCAATTCAGGTGTCAAAATTTTCCGTATCTCAGGTGTACTTGAAGGTTCTGACACATCAGGAGTAGACACAGGAGGGAGAGGTATAAGAGTAGACAAGGACGACTCAGACTCAAAGAAGGAAAGGGACGAGTCTTCTGAAGAACTGCTCTCCCCCTAAAGATGAGAACCCTGGAAAAAGGACTCAGATTCATGAAAGGTGACATCCATAGAAACAAAAAAAATTTGACTCGAAGGATGATAACACTTGTAGCCTTTTTTATCAGGGGCACAATCAAGGAAGACACACTTAAGAGTCCTAGGATCCAACTTAATGCGATGTTGTTTATGAACATGGACAAAGGCAACACAACCAAACACTCGTGGCGGAAGACTCTGCAAAATGGGAACAGAAGGAAAGAAGGAAGTCATGGAATGAATAGGACGGTTATTGTTAAGGACCCATGAAGGTAAGCAGTTGATCAAAAAGGCTGCAGCTAACACGGCTTCTCCCCAATAAGAACTAGGAACAGATATCTAGAACAGTAGCGCTCTAGCGACTTCAAGGAGGTGACGATTTTTTCTTTCAGCAACCCCATTTTGTTGAAGGGTATCGACACATGTGAGCTCATGAATCATACCTCTGTCTGAAATGAATTGTAACAAACGTTGGTTGACGTACTCAGTACCATTATCAGATCTTAATCTTTTAATATTCTTACCAAGCTGAGTCTCAACCATGTGATAAAATCGGATAATATCTCTGGTACTTCAGACTTGTCTTTCATCAAGAATATCTATGTCACCTGAGTACAACCGTCAATAAAAGAAACAAACAATTTTGCACCTGAAACACTATGCACTTTAGAAGGGCCCCAAACATCAGAATGAATCAGAGAAAAAGGTTCAATGCTTTTGATAGCACTAAAAGGAAGGACACTCTGGTGTTTTGCAAATTCACAAACATCGCAATAAAGGTCTCAACTGACTGATTTAGAAACAGAGAAGGAAACATTGATTTCAATAGACTAAATAATAGGTGCCCAATACACTTGCGATGGAGCCAAATCATAGACTCTGCCGTAGAAAGATGACGTGTCATCAATAGCTAATTTTTAGTATCATTTGTAGCATGTTCTGGAAGAAGATAATACAACCCACTCTGCTTCTCAGCAACTCCAATTGTCTTCCTCGTGGTAAGATCCTGAATAACACAATGAGAAAGGAAAAATGTGATAAAACAATTCAAATCAGTTGTAAGCTTTTGAGTGGAGATAAGATTAGTGGAAAGCTGAAGAACATAAAGAACATTTTTAAGAAACAAGGAAGGTTGGATTTGAATGTTACCAGAACCAATAACTGATTTATGGGATCCATCAGCTATGGCTATAGTATGACTACCAACAGTAGGATGATAAGAAAGAAAAGACTCAGCAAGGCAAGTCATATGATCAGTTGCACCAAAATCCAAAATCCATGAGGTTTTAAAATCAGTGCTAGAAACAAGAAGAGATGTAGAACATGTGTTCTTAGCAGACAAGATCAAAGAATTGTCCGACAGCTTACGCAAAGTATCAATAGCGGCCTTAAGCTACTTCAACTCCCCTTGTCAAATATTCACATATGGAGTAACATTATCACACTTCGAATGAAAGCGAAAACACATGTCTCTTGTGTGTCCAGCACTCTTACAATAGGTGCATCAACTTCCCATGGACAAATAAAACAAATCAAAGAGAACAACCCAAAAGAAGTGGGTAATTATCAATGAAGTCAAAAAAAGTCTCCAGAGAGCCCAAACAGCAGAACAACTTCAAGTTTAAGTCCAAACAGAAGCGAAATTATTAGATCTGCAAAAGGAGAAACCAGAAAAGGCCAAAAAATCTGCAACTTGAGGCAAAAAACACATAAACGCACAACCAGACGATGTTGTAGAGGTCTCTGAACATCCAAAGCAGTAACAAAAAAATCAAACTTGATCAAAGGAGGCGCGAGTGGCCAAAAAGATCCAATTTTTATGACGAGAGCAAAGAGCCACTGCTGGAAACGTTCGTAGATTGATAGATCTGGAAAAACGGAGTCAAACAGTGATCCTCTTGGTTCAAAAGCTCCCCGGAAAAATTTTCCGGTGGCGGCCAAAGGCTAACAAATAGGATTGAGAGCTCTGATATCGACTTGTAAAGTAGGATTGTATTATGTGAAAATTGTTAATTACAAATGTACAAGAACTCTCTATAGAGGTTGAATGACCTAATGGGCTAAGCCCAAAGAAAATTCTAGAATGAAAAAATAATAATAATTACGATTCAATTATTTACAACAGAAAAAAATACTGCTCCCATTAAACTCCGACTAGTGAGAGTAGAGATGAGAGAAACCCCCGTATGCAGCCTTATACTTGCATATTTGCAAAGTCAAAGAAGCTATTTTCTAGATTCAAACACATGACCTTTCACTCACAAAGCTATCAGTCAAACTAAAAAAATGTAAAAACACATAAACTTTACCCGTAACAGCATATAAAGCACATAGTGCATGGAAGTCAAGAGAGCGATCCTGCAGAGATAACAATAGGAATTGTTAGAGATATAATATAAATGGTTTACAAAAAAAAAAAGATATAATATAAAATTATCATGTGTCTTTACTTATAATTCATGACATGGTATCAAAGTGTATATAATCAAGTGGTTTAGAGTTCAATCGTTCCTGCCTCCATTCTTCTAATAAAACGTTAAATTTCAGCACAAGATAGGTGGATCTGTGTATTGTTCACGCTTTAAGTCCAAAGAACTCTTGATGCATGTTAGAAATGTAATTTAAGACCATTCATGGATCTTCACCTAATAGCTGAAACTTTTAAGATAATTGGTTAATGATAGGACTGTTAAATATTGTTTAAATTCATATCAACTGACTATTCTTTAATTTATACAGTTTCAATTATTTTCAGTTGTCGTGGTTTTACCTTCAGAACAACTTGATTATTTTGTTAACTCAGATTGCATAGTTTAACAATTTCTGGGAATTCTCAACAAGGTAGTAATAGTGCTTCACATGAGCCGCATGCGTGTGCATCAATCTCTCCTTTTCCAACCATTCCAAACAAGTTAGGATAAACATATAGCATGACAGAAACTAACAAAATTATATGCAAGCAGGACTGCTGAATTAGATCATCCAATGAAAAAATAAAAGAATAATTCCTTGTATTGTATGTAATGGAGAGTCAGCAATAATATAATTTTGATTTTATTATCACCGTGTTAAGAACACACCAGGTGATGTATAGGAACAGCAGTCAATGATCCAAATCTGCCATTGATTCGACCAACAATTTCATGAACCTGGCTTGTAAGCTTTTGATCTATAAATATGCCAAGAAAAAAAAGAGTTGATTAGTCATGATTCTGAAGCCAAAAATAAGATCATACACCATAATGAACAGAAAAATGAGTACATGCTTGACATGCCAGTACCTATGTTACCACAGAAAAAGCATCTAGACCAATTGAAGGAGTATAGAGAGCAGCAGTACGACTAAAGATCCGTGACATAAACATTAAGTACTAAAATGCAAATTGAATGTGGCATAAAATAGTTCTACGAGATTATAATGATTTGTGAACTCAATATTAAATGAAATATTTTCATTAATGATAAATTTAAACATAGATTTGAAAACACAACCAAATATTTCAGCATCTATACTATTCTAAATTTCTAATATACATTAGATCTCAGAAATGATTTGTTCCCTGAAAATTTTGTGCTTTGGAAAACAAAAGGATTTCTTTTTGACCAACATAAGATTCTAGATTATAGTAGTACAAATAACAGAAAAATGGAGAACATTAGAACTTTCTTTTATTTGAAAAAAAAATTATCTTCCATTTATACAAACAACAATAACATTGAAAAGAGTGGAGCCTATTTTGAAGACAACAACACAGTAGATGCCACAAGAACAAATAAAATAATACAAGCAACATACACTCAGGAACATCTGTTCTTGTTGGCACAGCGATTTGAAGCAAAACGACTTTATCACGCCAATAAGCATTTTCTTCCAAAAATTTTTCAAATGCTAGAATTTTCTGAGGGATTCCTTTAATCATGTCAAGGCGATCAACGCCTAACATTACCTGTCAAGACAGAAAAAGCTTTTGATAATTCAAATGATAGAACCAAATCCAATTAGTATGTAGCTCCAAAAAAAGGAAAGAAAAGTGGATGTCATGGCATCACATGACATACCAAACCAATACAACTTATACAGTGAAAGGCGAAAAGAAACATCTTCAGTCTTCACAAAGTCAGTCAGAAATTAAGTGCCCCATTACTAGAAGAATACGATATACATTAACAGTAATATTTTCCAAACAAATCAAAAAGAAAACCAGTTCATTATTAATATCATACAGTGATAGCACCGTAAATGCTTGCCATACTATTGAAGGTAAATGACCAACTCTCCTAAAAGCTTAAACTACTAGATATTCATGAATGCTCTTACATCTAATATGTCCCCTCATACAAGATCCCTTTTGGCTTTGTTAGAGAAGTATAAAACCATTATGGTAGCCTCACCCAACAGTTTAAGTTTTTGGGTTAAATTAGTTCTTTACATCGTATCAGAGCCTCGGTGTCACGGGTTCAATCCTCACCGCCCCCCATTTAGTTAATAATCAATTAAGTCTTTTAGAGTTTCTTAGCACAGTTAAATGGGCCTGTGCATTATCCACCCTTCAAACCCAGTAAACTCTCGTGTGAGGGAGTGTATTAGAAAAGAATAAATCCATTAAAGTAGCCTCACCCAACAGCTTACGCTTTTCGGTTGAATTGGTTCTTTACAAGCTTAAAGTATGAACATTTGTAAAGAACCAATTCAACCCAAAAGCTTAAGTTGTTGAGTAAGGTTACATTAATGGTTTTATATATCTCTAACACACCCCCTTACATGAGAGCCCATTGGACTCGAAGGGAGGACAATACATCAGACCCAACTTATCTATGCTAAGAAACTCCACAAGAGAAAGTGGGGGGCGGTGAGGATCGAACCCGTACATCGAGGCTTTAATACCATGTAAAGAAACAATTCAACCTAAAAGCTTAAGCTGTTGGATGAGGCTACATTAATGGTTTTATATATTTCTAACAACATTGCACAAGGCCACTTGTTCTGAAACCCAAAACTATTTTGAAAAAATGCCGAGGACAAGGAATGAACTCTTGACCGCTTGGTGATAGATGTTCTAATGTGTCAAGAACCAATTCTCCTAAAGGCTTCAGCTATTACATGAATGGTTTTATATCTAACAATGGTGATAGCTTTCTTGATATATAAAAGAAGGATTTGACTAAGAAATGACATTATAAAAGATTATAAGCTAAGACTCTCAGCCCTCTTGAACTAATGATAAGAAACATGAGTTTTCTTTAAAGGAAAAAAGAAGAAGCAAAAAAAAAAAATTATGTTAGTTGTTTACCCCAGAATCATTATTTTATTTTTTTATCTTAACAAGAGAACACAACCGGCAACTAAACTAATCCTTGCAATGCAAACCTAGAAATTAGTTAAAAATATCTTTGGAGGACTAATGTGATGACACCCTGATCTTTGGAGGACCAAATTGAGGGTTTATTCTAAATTATAAGATATAACTATAAAGTAAAAGATGCACCTTTCTGCCTTCAAATCTTCCTAGTAATTCTTTGATGTGTTCCTGTACTGGTGGAAGGTCAAGTGCACGTATAAATCGTTCTGAGTCTATCCCAATTGGAAACTGACATTCAGGAGAAATGTTGTAAATAGTGTCATAGAAGTCCCACATTGTGTATATGTCTTTGTATTTCTTATTTGGTTTAATATATAAGTGAAATCTCCTTCGTGTAGTTGACACAAGGATTACAGTCAATGCCTCTTGTATCTTGATAATTAACATGGTATCTAGAGCCTAACAAGAGGAATCATAATCCGCGTCTTTCCGGTGGACCACTGTCTGCTGAGTAAATTTTTTTTTTTTTTTCTTCCGTAAACCGTCATATCTGTCCGTTTCCGGCTTCCATCTATCGTCTAAGGACCCATCTGATCACTGTCGCTGTCAGGAACTGCCGTCTCCGACGACTTTTCCGGCGATTTTTCAGGCGAACCACCCACGGTTCTGATCGCCACGAAGAGGCGGTCCTCTCTGTCCAGGATCCACCTCCAGACTCTCAACCACGCGCTCTCACGCGCGTGAGAAAGCAACTGCAACCCGTTTTCTTGCCGCGGCGCGTGGAGGCGCGTGCAGCTCCGGCTTGAGATCGGACCACCATGGTTCACCTCATTTCCTCCTTGCGCACCTGGATTTGTCTTCACTTTGTGGTTACGACTTCGTTACGGCTTCCGACAGTGTCTTTTCCCTTGTTGGTTACTGTTCACGCGTGTTTTTCTGCTTTCCGTTACTGTTCATTTTTGTTTCAGGTGACCTATGGCTGATTCGTCACTCCACGATGCATCCAAGGGTTCTCAAAAGAATGACACCCCTGTTTTTACTAATTATGTTAATGTTCTGTTGCACGTTGACAAGTTGGATGGCTCCAATTATGATTCTTGGGCATCTGATCTCCAAGTTTGGCTTGATGGACATGATTATACTGACCATCTCATTACTAAGGCCGAGTCCATCTCGGTAGATGTACGCCCTCATTGGAAAAAGGTTGATGCTCAGTTATGTAGCATCATCAAGTCTACCATCCACCCGTCATTGAAGCAGATTTTCCGTGCTCACGTCACTTGTGAGTCTGTTTGGCGTCAGGCCAAGTCACTTTATACCAATGACACTCAGCGACTCTATGGTGTTTGTCAAAATTTGATAACTATTATTGCTGCTCAACACCTTGATGTCTCTATGTCTGCTTATTTGGGAAAAGTTCAGGGTCTCCTTCATGATTTCAATGAACTTTTGCCGCCTGCTGTAGACCGTGCTAAGGAACTTGAGCAACGCAGCACATTCTTCATGCTCATGGCTCTTTATGGCTTGCCCCCGGAGTACTCTGTCAACCGGGATCAGATCTTGGGCTCTACTACTGAGGCTCTTGTGGACTCACTTCCGTCATCATCTCCTCCGGCAGCTCTGATCCTTCCGTCTGACATTGATCTACCCATTGCACTCCGGAAAGGTACTCGTGATTCTCGTCCCCCTCCCAGGTATTTAATAAATCTGAGTTATCATCGTCTTTCACCATCCCATTTTGCTTGCCTCTCTTCTCTTTCTTATGTATCTATTCCTACGACTACAGGTGAGGCGTTATCACATTCTGGATGGCGACAGGCCATGATTGATGAGATGTGTGCACTTCAGAGCAGTGGTACCTGGGATTTGGTTCCCCTTCCCTCTGGGAAGTCTGTTGTTGGTTGTCGATGGATATACACGGTCAAAGTTGGTCCTGATGGTCAGGTGGACCGTCTCAAGGCCCGATTGGTGGCTAAAGGTTATACTCAGGTATTTGGCCTCGACTATAGAGACACTTTTTCTCCCGTGGCGAAAATAACTTCTGTTCTCCTTTTTATTACTTTGGCAGCCATTCATCACTGGCCTATGTATCAGCTGGACATAAAGAATGCTTTCCTCCATGGTGATCTGCGGGAAGAGGTTTATATAGAGCAACCTCCTGGGTTTTTTGCTCAGGGGGAGTCTAACCTAGTCTGTCGTCTCCGCAAATCCGCAGTCTCCCCGGGTTTGGTTTGGAAGGTTTAGCACTGTTGTACAGCAGTTTGGCATGACTCGAAGTGAGGCTGATCACTCAGTCTTTTATACACTCTGATTCAGGTTCTATTTATTTGGTGGTATATGTTGATGATATTGTCATTACAGGTAATGATAGTCATGGCATAGCTCAGATAAAACAACATCTCTGCCATCATTTTCAAACAAAAGACCTTGGAAGACTCCGATATTTCTTAGGGATAGAAGTAGCCCAATCCAAAGATGGCATTATACTATCACAGAGAAAATATGCTATGGATATTCTTGAGGAGACAGCTCTGTTGAATGCTAAGCCCATTGATATTCCTATGGATCCAAATGTCAAGCTTTTGCCAAATCAGGGGGAGTTATTTTCAGATCCAGAAAGGTATAGAAGATTGGTTGGGAAACTGAACTATCTCACAGTTACTCGACCAGACATTTCCTTTGCAGTCAGTGTAGTAAGTCAGTTCTTGAATTCTCCTTGTGAAGATCACTGGAATCCAGTAATCCGTATCCTCAAGTACATCAAGACTGCTCCTGGCAAAGGTCTTCTCTATGAAAACAAAGGTTATACCAGAGTTGTGGGATACTCAGATGCTGATTGGGCAGGTTTCTCCCATTGATAGAAGATCCACCTCTGGGTATTGTGTATTCGTTGGAGATAACATGATTTCCTGGAGAAGTAAGAAACAAAGGGTAGTTGCTAGATCAAGTGCTGAAGCAGAATATCGCTTCATGGCCACAGCTACCTGTGAACTCGTCTGGTTAAAACAACTACTGAAGGAACTCAAGTTTGGAGACACTGGCCCAGCATTTCTCATTTGTGATAATCAAGCTGCTTTGCATATTGCTTCAAATCCAGTGTTTCATGAAAGGACTAAGCACATTGAGATAGATTTTCATTTCCTTAGAGAAAAGGTTCTCTCAGGAGATATAGTCACTCGTTTTGTCAACTCAAATGATCAATTAGCCGATGTATTCACTAAGTCATTGAGAGGACCTAGGATAGATCAGATATGTAACAAGCTTGGTGCATACGATCTATATGCTCTAGCTTGAGGGGGAGTGTTGTTGTAAATAGTGTCATAGAAGTCCCACATTGTGTATATGTCTTTGTATTTCTTATTTGGTTTAATATATAAATGAAATCTCCTTCGTGTACTTGACACAAGGATTACAGTCAACGCCTCTTGTATCTTGATAATTAATAGACATTATAAAAGATTATAAGCTAAGAGTCTCAGCCCTCTTGAACTAATGATAAGAAACATGAGTTTTCTTTAAAGGAAAAAAGAAGAAGCAAAAGAAGCAAAAAAAAAATTATGTTAGTTGTTTACCCCAGAATCATTATTTTTTTTTTTATCTTAACAAGAGAACACAACCGGCAACTAAACTAATCCTTGCAATGCAAACCTCGAAATTAGTTAAAAATATATTTGGAGGACTAATGTGATGACACCCTGATCTTTGGAGGACCAAATTGAGGGTTTATTCTAAATTATAAGATATAAAAAAGTGTTTACTATAAAGTAAAAGATGCACCTTTCTGCCTTCAAATCTTCCTAGTAATTCTTTGATGTGTTCCTGTACTGGTGGAAGGTCAAGTGCACGTATAAATCGTTCTGAGTCTATCCCAATTGGAAACTGACATTCAGGAGAAACAGAATTAAATCAGCATTTTTAATTATAAGCTCGTCATGGTTATTGGTTAAAGCTTAAAATGAAGAGTTTCATTTAAATAGTTTCTACTTTTTCCCTCCCCTTTATTTATAATAGGTAAAATTTGGTGTGAAATTTTCATTGAACTTCAAATAACTGTTCAAATGACAAAGCCAAGAGCGAGCTTATAGACAAATTTTGTAAGCACATACTGCAGCAACTCGAGTCAGCTTCCCTTGATACTCAACCCCATCAGGTGTACCCTCAAGTCCAAGGATACGAGTACAAGCACTAACAAAATGTCTAGCATAATCGTAGGTGTGAAAACTGCAAGAGAAAAATTACACTTACCAAATCAGAACAATGATAATAATAGAAAAATGAAAATGGTTAAACCGAAAAAGGAAACAAATAGCATAAAGGGAGGAAATTGCTAGGTATAGAACCTAAAAGAAATGAGAAGAAATATAATGTTATACTAAATAGGAAATGTTAGAACCCGCAGAGTCAATTTAAATTACAGAAGCAGCATAGTATTTCCATTGAAATGAAAAATACTTAGGTAGTAGTTATACTCTCAAGAGTTAAGAACTTATTTAAATTTATTATAAAATATTATAATTTTAATCAAATGGCATAAATTCATATTCTATCTCATGTGTTATGCTTTTATTGGATTAGGGTAATACTCTCGAAGTTCACAAGAATCTCTCCATTTAAACACACAATGTTTAGGCATTATCATGTATATCCACTACCAGGACAGTCAAATTCTTTTCATTCAAATGATTTGCAGTCACTTTGACCAGCGGCTTGACCACCAGACCACGAGGAAACTGATAAGATTTGGACACCAGTAATTAAATTTTATCTCATGTTTTTATTGGATTAGGGTAATAGTCTCGAAGTTCACAAAAATATCTCCATTTAAACACACATTTGTTTAGGCATTATCATGTATATCCACTACCAGGACAGTCAAATTCTTTTCAATCAAATGATTTGCAGTCACTTTGACCAGCGGCTTGACCACCAAACCATGAGGAAACTGATAACATTCGGACACTAGTAATTAATTTTAGCCACACAAATTGGGGCAATTATTAGGTGACAGCAGTGATTGATTTTATGTATATATATAGTCAGAAAGGAAATCGATAAATAATGCTTCGTGGCAGAATAATTAAGTCAATGGCTCATGGAGGCTCATGTTTCATTTTTCATATGAACACATTAAAGCATCAACTGACTAAAGAGAAGAACTGTAAAGAATGACGAATTGATGAAGAATAGTCATTCTCAGAATTTCTTTTTATGAAGTAGATTCGTAGAAAGTGATTATGATATTTGCAAGATACGGTCAAAAGAAGGAAGTAAAATCCCCTTCTTTATGGATATATTGTATAGACAAGATGTAGTGGGGCATAGCACCATCCTTATATCTTTAGGACAGGGAAACTGGATTTCTTATCAAGTGCAATTTTGTCAGCAAGATGAAGGCATAGGTTAGATGATTAGCTTCCATTTGATATGTTAAGCTAGTGGTTTATGACTTGACAAACAGTGAATTCATACTTGGCAAAATATTTACATGCAGAGTTTAATGCACAGCATATCGTATAAACTCCCAAACTGTTAAAGGATCTCATGAAACAATTTTATTACAAAATTGCATACACATATCAGATGCATTTCATTTAAGGAAAGAAAGTCCAGAAAACAAACTTGGGAGAATGACACATAAGCCTGATTCCCAAGTGGGGACTTACCCAACTAAGTCAGCTGCAAGAACGGAATGCAGGATCTCTGAACGAGACGGCAGTGTCCTGTGAATTTCAGAAGATGGAAATGGGGTGTGGAGAAACCATCCGACTTTCATATTGTTGTTATATTTCTTTAAGCATTTTGGAAGGAACATAAGATGGTAATCATGGCACCAAACAACATCACCCTCTTCATAGTGTTTGTTCACAACATCAGCAAACATTTGGTTTGCTTTCTCATACGCTGCATACTGAGACTGGAAACTGCGTGTGGTGGCAAGGCGGTCTTCTTGTGGAAGTCCAAGGTAATGGAAAAGGGGCCACAAGATGTTGTTGCAATACCCATTATAATATTGATGAACAATCTCTTCATCAAGAAATACAGGTATACACCTCTGCAACACAAGGACAACAAAATTCATAAATTATTGGCTATATGTTCTTCCACTAAATATAATGCTTTGCCAAAAAACAACAGGAGATAATCTATCTCCTGCAACCCCAAAAGGATGTAGAAACACTTCCCCTAATAATAATAAGGGAATAACATCTGTCATTTTAAAGTATATAAATTTATATCATTTTAGATCCTAACCGTTGATTTTCGTCCATCAACGATTATAATTTATTGGATCAAAATAATTAATTAATTAATAATAATTTTGGCTCATTAAGTTTGACCCAATAGATTATAACCGTTGATGGACGGAAATCAACGGTTAGGATCTAAAAGGATATAAGCTTATATCCTTTAAAAGGATAGATGTTTTTCCCTAATAATAATTACAAAAGCAATTTATGACAACAGAGTAAGAGAGAAATTTAGAACCTTTTCAGCCAATGCTTCAGTAAGTGTCTTCTGTCCAATCTCATCTGGAACATTGACACCAGCCCAACCTATCCACCGTGCCTCAAACTCCTTCACACCTTTTGTAAATAAAGAGACCAAAAATTCAATTCAAAAAGCCAACTTAGGAGCAGAAAGAACCCCACAAAAGAAAAACAAACCACTTACCTAAAAGAGCGGTCACTAATCCACCAGAACTCATCTCCAAAGACCAAGAATCCTCACCTTTCCTATTAGCTGAAACTGGCAACCTGTTAGCCACAACCAAAAGCCTTTGTCTAAAAGGCTTCCCATCTTTCCTTTCATATCCCTCACTACACAACCTTGTTGCTGCAACCCCTTCCAGTAACCGTTCAACATCATCTAAGTTGTTTTCATCTTCTCTTAAGCGCTGGTCATGCTCATAAAGTTCAGTAACCCTATTATTATTATTATTACTATTATTATTATTATTCTCAATGGACTCAGATATTCTGCTGCTTTTTCTTAACTCTCTATCTCTTAAAAGTCGTTCAATACGACCTGGTATATGGTTGGAACTACCGTTATACTTATTCCCAGGCATACTCTCTATCAAGGAAAACCCAAACCTTTAATATCAATTTCACAAGTAGCTAATAATTCCTTTCCTGCATTTAGTTTAACCCAACCAAGAATTACATTTGTTTTTGTAAGGAGAACAGAGTATTGAAATGGTTAAGAGAAGAAAGTTCATATATATATATATAGAAAAACAAGGCATATATGGTAAAAGAGAAGAACAGCATTCAAATGGATGCAACAAGCAAAATGCAAAGAAAGAAAGGTAATAGCAGTGCCTGATGCAAAGGTAGAACACGAAAAAATTTAAAGGAACGAGTTAAAAATGCGAACTCAGGAGTCACCTCGGAAACTAGCGGAAACTTAAAGCAAGAGAGAATCGTGTCCGCAAAAAATGGGTTCTGATTCTGTAATTCAGTGTCGGAGAAGTGTTGTACAGCGAAGTTAACAGCTGGGTTGGAGTGAGAGGGAAATCTGAAGAATCTGAATTAATATGGCCACTTAGGCAAAGAAGAAAGAAAAACAGGAAGAAGTGGAATCCTCGTGTCAGCTTTACATGGCACTTAAAAAGCATCATACCCATGCAGGTGACACCAAAGCTCGATTGAGAGCAAAATAACATTTATTTTTCAATATAGTGAAAAATATTTGAGAATCACAAGTCACAAAAACGAACATATTATCATTATTATAGGAGTATCAAGCACGCTGTATATTTAACTTTGAAAAAAAAACATATTTATATTGTCTTTATTTTTTTAGTTATTTCTTCTTTTATATGTATATGGAAAAATGTTTCTCCAGTTAATGCAGATAAGTTATCTACATTTATTCTCAAAACAACGTCGTTTTAGTATTAAAATCTTAAAAAATTATAAATATAAAGACTATTATAACCCTGAAATAAATTAAAATTACAAAAACACCATAATTTTCGCCTAAAACGTCGTATTGGGCTTACTGCAGATAACTTATCTGCAGTAACTGCAGCAGCAGTCAAATATTTGTCATATATATATATATATATATATATATATATATATTAAAGCATTAAATATTAAGAATCATAACCATATAAAAAATGAAAGTATTAAATGTGAGAATCATAACCATATATCTATTATTATACATAAAGTGGCTGTAAAAATAATTTTATATATATATATATATATATATTTATTTTTTTGGTAAAGGAATATATATTCTGGTTGAAAAAATAAAATATGCTGCTCCGCAAGAATTAGGACACTGACAACAGCACCACACCGTGATTATTTTGGGCTTTGGTATGTAAATAAGGGTTATGATCAATAGACCACAATTTCAAGAGGGCAGAGAAATGATAAAGGTTAAGTTAAAATTGTGATCTAATGACATAAGAGAAAAATAGGTAAAATAAACATAAAAAAATCGATAAACATAATATCCTATCTATATAAACAAAAGAAAAGCCATGGAGATTCTTTATTTTGAAGTGTGTTTTATTTTTTAATATCTAATGGCTAATAGTTAATTAACATGTTTTATTCCTTTAAAGAATAAATTTTGTTGTTTATATTTTAATAAATAAAATATGTGACTGAATATTATTATTAGAAAGTAGTAATATTCTTTAAAAAAAAAAAAAAAAGAACAAACTTGTACAATTTTTTTTTCTTTTGACTTATAAATTCTCACAATAAATGTCAATCCTTTTTATGGAAAGCATTTTTTTGCTAAATATTAGGGGGTGTTTGATAAAGGAGAAAAAAAAATTTACCAGGGAAATACAATTACTAGGAATGTGATGTGAAAATGAGTTTGGTAGAAAAATTAAAAAAAAAAAAAGTTGTTTGATAGGCCGAAATATTGCCGGAAAAATTGGATTAAGTTTACTGACTCTATGTTTGGTTAAAAATAAAATATTAATAGGAAAATGGGTTAAAAAAATGAAAATAACCTTTTTATTATTTTTGAATCTTTATCTTTATCCAACTCCACACGCAAATGAAAAAGTACTCTTCATAAGGTACTCTCTTAGCAAAGAAGCGCCAGACAACAACTGTCAATGCAAAAATTAATACTAGAAATTACATTTCGTCACCTAGAAAATACTTCAGAAAAGACATGCAAAAATATGGATAAGGGTAGTTTGAGCATAAGTCTCAAGCATTCATATATGGATAAGGGTATTATGGTCAGATTTTTCGTTGCCTTTTATTCATTTAGCAGTCTAACTCACAATACCACATTCAAAGTGGTTTTATTGAACAGTGATTTCCCTTTCATTTTACACACAAATGTCAAAGTCTAGGGAAATGCTTCATAAAAGACATGCAAAAATATGGATAAGTGTAGTTTGAGCATAAGTCTCAAGCATTCTATATGGATAAGGGTATTATGGTCAGATTTTTTGTTGCTTTTTATCCATTTGGCGGTCTAACTCACAATATCACATTCAAAGTGGTTTTATTGAACAGTGATTTTCCTTCCATTTTACACAAAAATGTCAAAGTCTAGGTAAATGTGTTTCTTATCAAAATTTTGTAATATTCTGAACCAAACTTAGAAAACAAAGAATACCTATCTATAATGTCTGGGTATCTCCTAAAAAAACCTCTACCAAACACCACCTCAGTGATTTAGTGAAAGATATAGCCTCAAACATCATTATCTCCTATATTTAGAGTAGGGTCATTACAAAATATTGAACCACCTTAGCATAAAATATTGTAGCAAACTAGTTCAAAATTAACTTTTAAAACAATTATTTAAAATCAATCTAGATTTATATGGCTCTAGAAACCAGATTTATCTTTCACATTAGAAAATGGAGTAAGATATTGTAACAACCAATTACGATTATTACCAATATTACTACCAATTAATTTTACCATTAGATCAGTTATGTTGATCCAACGGTTATATTTATTTCCATCTTTGTATAGTTATGATTCCTCATACTTAATGACATTAAATATAAGAAATCATAACCATATAAAGGTGAAAATAAATATAATCATTTGATCCACATAATCGATCTAACAATGAAATTGATTGGTAGTAAGTGTAACATTGGTAGTAACCCTGATTGGTTATTATAATATCCTACCCCCTAGAAAATAAACAAATTTAATTTAACTAATTACAGATCAATTCTAAAATTTTCCAAACAAATTGAATTTTGTTATTTTATTTTATTTTTAATAGTAACATTTTGACTACTTTGAACAAAAAATTTCAAGGCTAAAAGTGATTTATAAAATAGAAATAAAATAGTTAAGATTACTTCAAAAAAATTAAATAAGCAATATATAATGGGGTTAATGTTTCTCTAGAGATAAGGGCCTATTTGATTGCTTTTTATTTTTTTATGGGACAAATATTTATCCTCTTAAATGACACAATTTGTATCATTTCACTTTTATAAAGAGATGGGAGCCACACCTTTATTTTTTTGTCCACTCTCTCTTTCCATTTATCTATCTTTTTCTCTCACTTAAAATGACACAACTTTATATCCTTTAGAATGACACACATTTTTTCTCTTTTTTTAATTCGGAGCAGGATATACTTACCACAAAAAAAGTTTACCACCTTTACAATCAATCTAATCACCGTTGATTTCTGTCAATCTAACGGTTATAATTTATTGGATTTATTATAAATTAATAATTAATTAATAAATACGACCCAATAATTTCCAACAAATTATAACCGTTAGATTGACGAAAATCAATGGTGATTAAGTTAGTTGTAAATGTGGTAAACTTTTTTGGTGATAAGTATATCCTTTAATTACCAAAAAAAAAAAGTATATCCTTTTCTTTTTTTATTCTTAAAACTGTTTTGTATGAAAGCAGTATGTTTTGTGTTTTTTTTTTTTAAGTTAAAAGTCAAAACACAAAACAGAAACAACTTAAATATGTTCTCTAAATTTAATTCTAAAAATTTAAAAATAGATATATTTTTTAAAACTATTTCTATAAAACAACCATTATCAAACAGTTTTTTTTTTTGTTAATCTACAAATTAAAAAAAAATATTTTTGAAAATAGAATTCAAACAAACCCAAAATTATCTCCTGCAATCCTAAAATGATTTTGTTTTGGAGTTTCAAAAAAATGTAGGGTATTTTAATAAAATATATGATATAAAAGGAAAATAAAAAGTGCTAAAACATTCTATACGTTTTTTTTTTTCCTAAGTCCGAAAACAATATCATTTTGAGATTTCTGAAAATAATATCTCTTGTTGCTTAAGAAACACTTTGCCGATAAATTTTAATAGAGATCTATATATCTAACTATGACCTATATTTAATCATCCACTAACAGATTAGTAATTTGTTACGCCAAGAAACACGGCAATGATGCAGAGTATTGCAATAGTCAACCACTAAATATATCGTAAGACCAATATATCATCAAACAGTACGTGCAATACTTTATGCAAATAAACGGATTATTAATTTTTTTCTATAAAGCAGCTTCGCAAAAAAATAAACTTTTAAGAAAAATCTCTGACCAAAACGAAAAAGGATGGAAAAAAAAAAACAATATACAGTCAATTACATGTGAAATTTACCCACAATATTTATGGTGAAAACTGGACTCCGCACTTCATGCAGACATGCAGGGAACAAGTGAACATGACCTTCATAATTAAACGTAATTCATGATGTCATAGGACCACCAACCTCTATCATGATTTATCTTCACCACTTGCTTCTCATGCAAAAAGAATCTATTTTAATTTTACTTATTTTTCCTGAGTTATACCAATAATTAGTTGATTATATGGGTCAGTCACTGATTTATAAGTTGAACCCGACTCTCAACGTCAATCTACTCATATGAATTGTTCCATCTTAATCAGTATCTTGAGTTCTGAGTCTTAGGAACCAACTGTATTAAAAGTATGGGTGTCAAAACAGGTCCTGACTCATGGGTTGATTCATGATATGACCTGTTAAAATACGTGTCGTGTTAACCCGTGAGTCAATAATGGGTCGTGTACAAATTTGAAAACATGACATTTTTTTTCGTGATCATATTCATTGAGTTTTTTTTTTTTTTTTAAATACTATGGACGAGGAAGTACTAGGGAGCATAATGATGTTGACATATAGCAATATTAGGTTAGAAGAATGTGATTCACTTTATTTTTCTTAAAGGGGAATAATTAGTTTAATCAATGATTATAGTCTTGGCCTCAATAAAATTAGCTTCTCGTAAGAAACATTTTATAAGACAGTTTAAAAGCATAATCTTGAATTCTTTTTGGATCAATTCCTTTCAACTTTTTAGGGAAGAAGATTGCTGGAAGGACATTCTTACGTCCACATTGTGTGTTATACTTAATGATTTAGATTTTAGTTTATAGTTTACCTGATTGTCCCCATTTAATTACTCTATTATATGTGATCATCTAACTGGTCCAGTGCAATAATGATGCAGATAAGAACTTCACTTGATAGAGGTGATGGAGATGGAATGAAAGTTAAAACCATGCCATTGTTGAAGATCTTCATTCATTAGACCATTCACTTTGTGCAACCCTATTGTATGAACGCTGAAGCAAAAGAAAAGAAAACTTTTTCCTGCAAGGAGCGATTTTCATATCAAGGGCAAGCAACCCTCAATAGGAAACAAAGGAGGAACAAAGGCGCACTTGAAAATTCTAAGGCAGCTTCCTTTAATAAGACCTGACATTGAAAAAACAAAGTGATGAAGATAACTTATGAACCAGTGACAGATTTATAAACCTTAGAACACAGCCCTTAAATAAGTAGAAAGCAAAATTTTCAATAACGGAGTTGTCAGGCAGGATCCAAGGGAGCCCGTGGTGAAAGATCACCACCAATGGGTTAAACTAGACCAACCAAACCAAGTGGATCTCACATTATATCACAATCCAAAATCTCAAGGCATTGTGTTCATGAATTCTTTCACTTATATGGACTTTACTTAGCCCATTAACAACCAATGTGGGACTCATCACACTTGAATAACCCAATAATCTTCCCCTCAAGTGTGAAACCCACCATTGATATACTCCATCTTAACTCTGAGTACCTCAAGTCCAAGTACTCAATCCGTATAGCTCGAGCCCAACCCAACTCTGATATCACTGTCAGGCAGGATCCGAGGGAGCCCGTGGTGGAGGACCATCACTAATACGCTAAGCTAGACCAACCACATTAAGTAGGTTCGACACCACGTCACCACCCAAAATCTTAAGACATTAAGTTCATGGATCCTTCCACTTATGGACTTCACTTAGCCCATTAGCAACCAATGTGACACTCATCACACTTGAATAACACAAGAGCAGTATAGAGAGATTAGGAACATATGACATGAGTTTTACAGAAGCATACCCAGAAAAAATCAACTTGATTCAAGGAGAAGGGATAAAGCAGAATGGATCGGAGATGGATTTAAATCTAATAAGACAACAGAGTAAAAACAATGCATCAGAATAAGCTATAAATCAGGATTATTCTAAGGGTGGAAAAAAGCAGAAGATAAGAACATACCTCTTGATTCATTTTGGAGCCAATCTTGTGTGCATATTAAAGCCTCTCGTGTATATGGGTTTAGAGAACAACGAGAAGAATCTAGCACTCTTCCCCCAATGCTAAATGCCAATTCAGGTGCCAAAGTTGACATTGGAGTCCCAAGAACATCACGTGCCATCATAGACAAAATTGGGTACCTTGGCATGTGGACTTTCCACCAATTCAATATGTTAAAATCAGAATTACGAGGAAATATTGGTTCCTCTAAATACTTGTCTAAATCTGATGTCATGGACTGACTCTCTGACGTTTCATGAAGAAATCTGTCAAAGCCTTTTAGTCTATCCCTGGCACCACAAGTAGTACCAGGCAAGCTGCTACCAGGCAAGGCTGAACCTTGATCAACCATTGTTGAACAGATAGAATACGCATTAAAAAGTTCTTTTATACCATCAGAAACTTCCTTGATACGTTCCAAAGCAGTGCTGCCATAAATCAAGGAGTAGTAGTATTCAACCAACTTCATTTTAAACCGAGGGTCTAAGACTGCAGCTACAGCTAAAGCCAAACTGCACTTGCTCCAGTACTTATCAAATTTGGCTTTCATCTTCAAAGCCATTGAACTAAGAAAATTATCTGAACTTCTGCACCAGTCAATTAATTGAATATGGATGTCACAAATCTCAGGGAAGTATATACTAGCAGTAGGAAAACTGTGGCCAGAAAAGACATTCATAATTTCAACTAAAAGTTTCAAATATCCAGAAACAGAACTGACCCATTCCCACTCTTCATCAGTTAGAGTGGTTGAATAGGAGGGATCATGTTCTTGGAAGAGAGAAAAAGCACTCCTGTATTCTAGTGCAGTTTCAAGCATGAGATAGGTAGATTTCCAATGAACAGGAAAATCAAGAAACAAGGCCTTCTGAGAGTTAATTCCAGCATGTTGAGCAATTTCATTAAATTTTCCTAGCACAACTTGTGAACTTCTAATATATCTGATGCTTTCACGAATCTTTTGGATGACCTCATGCAATGCATCCATGGCATCTTGAACAATGGAGTTTAGGAGATGTGCTGTGGAACGTATGTCAAGTAATTGTCGAGTACTTAAAAAAGGCCTTTTCTCGGAAACTCGCTCTTTGATTCTAAAAGTGAAGTTATCATCAATGGAACAATCATCAAGTGTCAAGGAAAACAGCTTGCAGTCAATATCCCACTCATTGAGACATTTGATAATCACTTCTGGAAGCAAGTCTTCAGTATGAGAAGAATCAAGTGTGACAAAGTTTAGGATTTTCTTCTGTAATGTCCATTCCTCATCAATATAATGTGCATATAGACACAAATATGAAGAATTTTCTGTTGAAGACCACATTTCAATAGACAGATTAATCCGACCGGGCAATTTGTTTATCATGTGATACACTTTCTCTTTCTCCCTCTTGTAGATTTCTATACAAGAAACCTCTACATCACTATTTGGCAGAAACTCAAAGAGAGGCTGGAGGTTCTTTACAAAGACCTTGAATCCTACTTGTTCAACCAAGTTCAACGGGTATCCATGTAATATGATCATGCGTGCAAGATCAAGTTGACTCCTTCCCTGATCAAATTTACTACTCCCAAAGTTAATGATTTCTTCTTTCTTGTGCTCCTGATCAAACTTGATGATTGTTGGCTTTATATATTCTTCTTTCCTCTGACCTTCATCAAAACTAATGTTTGCGAGGCTGACGGTATTATCTTTTTTCCTTCTCTTTGCTGCAAGTAGTTGAGACACATCAAAGTTTGATCTTTTCAGACACCGCATTAAGTGATTTCGCAGATGAGTAGTTCCACTGTTACTTGAACCACTAAGTTTCTTGTTACAATGTACACAAACAGCATAACAGATGTCAGCCTTTCTAACCTTTTCAAAATGATTCCAGACAACAGATGTCAACCTTTTTGGTTTCTTAGTGCCTGAATCATTTGATATTTCCATCACATAGGCTTAAAACTACCAATAATCTGCATGCCACACAAAACTAAGTAATAAGTCTAAGTCATCACCCAAAAAAGTAAAGGATAAAAAAAACATAACTTCAAAATTTGTCAAGTAGCAAAGCATTGAAGGAATGGCTAGGTAGAACATAGTCATAAAGCCACTGCCAATGCCATCCTCCTCTGAATAAGGGAGAACAAATAAAGCACAAAGATTTACAAGCATAAAGCTTAACTTTTAAAGTTCAACTCAGTCATATCTTGCAGAATTTAGAATGACAAGATTACACAAGAGCTTAGAAACCTGACCCAGCAACATGACATTACTCAAAAGTTAAATATCTACTTAAATCTTAGTATACTCCTCAGTAAAATATATCAAGAACCATGAGTTTAGATCAGAATCTAGACATTTCTTGACTCAAACTAAGTCAACCTTAGACATGCCTAGACCCTCAAAATAAAGTGTATCCTTACTTAGGGAAACTGAGTCCATCCAACATGCAAGAACAAAAAAACCAGACCAGTGAAAAGGGTGAGGGTAATAAGCCAAGTGCCTAACACACACACACACACACACACACACACAGAGAGAGAGAGAGAGAGAGAGAGAGAGCAAAGGAAAAATAAAAAAATAAATAAATAAAAATAAAAAAACCTCAAATATTAGTTAAGTTCAGTTCAATTATAGACGATGCTTGGAGTAGCCTATACTTGATCAAAAGTCAAAACACCCATTAATTGAATGAAAAAAAAAATTAAAGGATATGCATTAATTCGGACAGACATTACAAACTGAACATCAAGGTCCCACCTAATGGAAGGAATTTTATTTTTTTTATTTCTTGAAAAAATGGGCATATCTGCAATTTAATACCATGGATTAACAAGGTTCATTTCCATTTTCATTTTCATCCATATGGAATAGGTCGCTCTAAACAAAACAAGAATCACAACATGAAGCAAAATTTGAAACACCCATTTAAAAATGTTGCAATTTTAAAATTTGAACAAATTTAACCACCAAATGACACAATTGCCAGCTGAAACAAACGGAAAAGAAAGAAAGTTGAATTGAAAAGAGTGTCTTACTTTCAGATAGAGAAAATAAAGTCCGATACGGCAGAAAATGATAGGGATTGGAGCGAGAACCCGATGAAGATGCGTTTGGATTGTAGCGTGGCGAATGTGGGTTGGATCCGATTTCGAAAGGGTAATACCCAAACCGATTTTGATGGAAGAGGGTGATAAATGGGTAGGTGGGTCAAAATCTCGGGTTCCATTTGTTGTGGGTTGTGGTTTAGATTGTTAGTTTTTTGAAAAATATTTTCTTATGAGATTTTTTTCTTATTGATGACTTATAGTATAATTGAGATCTACAAAATAGTTGAGAAAAAAAAAAATTCAAGATGTGACTCATTTATGCTATGAGATATGAGTCACTGGTAGTAGAAAAATTTTCTCACAAAATATTTTCCCTAGTTTTTTATGAGGAAAAGTTTATAAACCCATCCATGTACTTTATTCTTTTATCACTTATGTTTTTATATTTTTTTTCTTATCAATTATTCTTTTGTGTTTTTTTATGGGTTCGTTTTTTCTACAGAGTCAATGTAGATAACTTATCTACATTGAGCTCAAAACGACGTCGTTTTGAGATGAAAATCAAGGTGTTTTTATAATTATAATTTATTTCAGAGTTATAATAGTTATTTTTATTATAATTTTTTAATTTTTCAATCCAAAATTACGTCGTTTTGGAAGCGAAGGTAGATAACTTATCTATATTCACTTTAGAAATGTTAAAGCTTTTTTTATTTATTTAAGTTATTCTTTAACACAGTTAGTAATTAAACTCAGTGTTTAAAAACCCGGACCGGCCATCGACCCGGCCGAGGTCAGGGGTCACAGGGTCATGGGTTCAACCGGAGGGTCACGGGGTCACTATGCTGACCTGGTTTTATATATTAAAAAAATATAAATATATATCCTATATAAAAATATTAAAAAACAAATCATCAATCATTAAAGATTCAAAACATATTTAATATAATTCACCAATTATAACCACAAGTCAATATTACACAACCTAATTAAAATATCAAGATACCAAAGTACAAAAATCATATTCTAATGATACCAAAGTATCAAGATACCACAAGTCTAGGTCGTCGGGAGAGAAGAGAACGATTAGATTTAGGTTTGCAAACATTTCTTAAAAATAAAATAAAATGCAGTGACTCCCTTTGACCTCTCTGACTCGGGAGTCACTGAAACCCGGCGGGGTTTTGGGAGTCGGAGGGGTCGATGTGCATATAGGATCTAACTTGTGACCCCAACCCTCAAAGGGGAGGGGTCAAGGTTGACCCGGGTCAACCCGGGAGGTGGGTGGAGTTTTAAAACACTGATTAAACTAACTTGTACATGTTAACCTTATTTTACTTATTAATTAATCTAATATGTAGAAACATTTTTGACAAGGTGGTAACAAATGACATTTTGGTGGTTCTTTCTGTCTATATATGTGGTAAAATGTGTGATAGACGCTTACCAAAAAAAAAAAAATGTGTGATAGACTGCTAGCAAGTAGCAAGGTATACCAAGATGATAGTTAAATCAGACGCGGATATTATTGCTCTTAAAAAAGCGCTGCATCAAACATGTAGTGAAACAAATCATGAATAAACGTAAAGAACTCGGCTTGGACAAGCCTGGAAACTAAAATTGTCCAGACAAACATTTCAACAGAATATATAGTGCTCTCGATTCACATAATGTAGAATCAGTAAGAATGCTTTTCAAAGTGGGGCATACTAATCTAGATGAGGCTTATGCTCTTCATTATGTTGCTGCACACTGTGATGTGAAGACCATGACCGGACTTCTTGATCTTAGACATGCTGATGTCAATCATAAAAACCAATTTATTATTTTTAAGGAGCAATCTGACATTTAAAAAAAAGTTGAAGGATAAATCTCACAGAGGAGGAGAGTCATGGATGTCAATTTGTATCAAAAGTCAAAACCCAAGCAAGGACACCAGCTTTTCCAGACATATTGCTCCCAGAAGAGATAGTGATGCTCCTGTTGCAGAAGGAGCAACTGACAACAAAGGAGCACAATAGGGTCATAACTGTGATCCCAAGTTTATTCATTTCTCGTCACTTTAATTTTAATTAACTTGATGGAACGAATACATGAATGTCTGGAAGGAAAATGAATGCCCATTACTGAAATTTTGCTCCTCGTTGTTGTTTTGACTTTTCTTCTGCGGTGTACCAGGGATTCGCCACCTTGAATTTTCTTTTTAATTTTCGATTTGTTAATACATTTTGTTGTGAATTGATATACCTATGTTGATAATGCTATGGGAAATGATTATCCAATTTTATAACACCTCTCTGACATGCATGATGCCTAATGATGACTAGTTAAGTTTTGCGATTGCTCCCTATTTTTGAAAGTTATATTGTTTGAGATAAGGAGCCACCATGTTGTATTATACTAGAAGCATGAGTAGGATAACCTTTTGTTTTTGAACTTAACTTATTTGAGCTTGACTGCTAATTGCACAACTTGAAACTTTGATTGGTTGCTCCTGAATCATGTTTGTAAATTAGTTGCGATGATTGTATTTTTTATTCAACTTAAGTCTGTTGCACCTGAAACTATTTTGCAAAAATTTCTGACATATGCCCCCCTATTTGTTAAAAGAAAAAAAAAACTTGAAGGTCAACTCCTCCGCTCTCAAATTGCGCCCAAAGGGCCTAAGCTATCAAAAGTTAGGAGCAAGAGCTGCTCAAAGAGCGCACTGTTGAAGGTCAGCCCTATGCAATGACAAGGGTATTTGACTTCCAGAATAGGAACCAGTCAAATTTCTTCACTAGTCACATTCTTCAGACTCCCCTCATGTTTTACGAAGTTCACAGAGTTAAGCTTGTTGTACTCCCCTCATGTTTTATGAAGTTCACAGAGTTAAGCTTTGTGTGTGTGTGCTAGAAATATTTCTTAATTGCTCCTGAAACAGCATCTGGAGGTTAGAGTTAGCTCATAGATAAAACTCAAAACAAGTTTGCGGTTGCTCTTTACAAATTTTACATTTTGGAAAGACAAATATTAACGGGACTAATTGCATAGACGATAGTAACTAATATTAACGAAATACCTAGTCCAAATGCGGGTTTCTCAGGTACTTTTTCGGAGAACAATAGGAAGATCACTAGCATAAGGTGGGACCGAAGCTAAGAGAGGAGATGCGGTTGGATGTGAGCCCATAGAAACATCAAGTAAAACATGTTGTAAATCATCAGGAAAAGAGTTGGCGGAAGAAAAGTCAGACACAAGGACAGAAAGTGGCGGAAGATATTCAAGGAAGTCGACATAGAGAGATGACTGATCAGGGTCTGCAGGAGCAGTAGTGGAGCCAAAAAGGGGACTAATTCAAATAAGGAGACATATGTCGAGATAAAGTATCGATGTAAAGTCGGAGAGTAGTAACGGTAACCCTTTTGAGATCGAGGATAACCCGAAAAAACACATTTATGAGACTTAGGAGCTAGTTTATCCAAGCTTGGACCAAGATGATGAACAAAACATGTAGAACCAAAGACATGTGGGTCAAAGGATATAAAGGTTGATGACGGAATAAAATAGAGTGAGGTACCTGGTTATAAAGAACCAAAAAGGGCATACGATTAATGAGATAGCATGCAGTGAGAATAGGAGCACCCCAGAATTTGTATGGAACATTGCCATCAGTTAATAATGCACGAGTAGTCTCAACAAGGTGACAATTCTTGCGTTTGCACCATTTTGCTGGGGTGTGTGAGGATAAGACTTTTGATGAAGAATGCCATTAGACGAATAAAATTGCTGAAATTGATGAGATAAATACTCACAAGCATTATCATTATGAAAAGTACGAATAGGAATTCAAAATTGAGTTTTGATTTCATTATAAAATAACTGAAAAACAAAAAATAACTCAAAATGATTTTTCGTTAAAAATAACCAAGTACATCTGGAATAGTCATTAATAAATATAACAAAATACTTAAACCCTAAAGTAGAAGGATGACGACTAGGCCCCCAAATATCATAGTGGACCACAAAAAAAGGAGACAAAGCATGACGACTAAGATGACTTGGAAACGTAATACGAGTATGTTTCCAAACCAACACAACCCACAATGTAAACTAGAAAGAGACGATAAATGGGGAACCATCTTCTGAAGCTTGGCAAGACTTGGATGACCTAAAATGATATAGATATGGAGGGGGTGAATCCACAGTAGAATAGGCTGAAGAAGAAGAAGAAAATTAATAGAGGCTATGATATTCACATTCATTGGTAATCCCCTTCCCCGAACTCCAATCCTGAAAAATGACAGAAGTTTTAGTAAAAGAAATCACACAATCAATGGATTTGGTCAAACGGCTAATGGAAAGTAAGTTAAAAGAAGAATATGGAACATAGAGAACATGATCCAGTGATAAATCATGGGATTGGACGAAAGATCCATTGACCATAGTAATAGTAGGAAAGGAACCAGTGGTACAAAGACAGGTGAATAAGGACTTATTACCATAAATGTGATCAGAAGCCCTAGAATCAACAGTCTAAGGGCCTAGAGATTGTACCTGAAAGATTCCAGCAAAAGAATTACCAGTTGGACAATGGAGGCAGTAGTACCAGATGATTGCTTCTCAGACCACCAATTTATGAATTCATTAAGAAAAAATGCAGGAAATTATGATGCAAAAGGTAACCCTGGATCAACAACACTAGATGGAGCCTGTGCAACATGAGCACTCCGAGGAGGCTGAGGTGGCTTGCCATGGAGCTTCAAATAGTGATCAACAGTATGATTGATTGGATAACATGGAGTGCAAAGTAGCCTACCTTTAGAGGGTTTACGTCCACGACTAGAGCCCTGAGCAACAAGGGAAGAAGAGCCAGAGGTGTCAATTGGAGAGACATAGTGCATAGCAGGTGTTGATGATGCAGAGGGCTTAGGTGGAATCGTAGGAAAAGTAGATATCACAGAAGCTAATGTAGGAACAGTAGCAGATCCCAAAATCTGATCTCGATTGGCAGACAAATGGGAAGGTAAACCATATAAAATCAATAGCATGAAAAGAATACTACGTTGCTCCCGCTCCTTATCAACATCATCAGTAAGGGGCAAAAGTTTATTGAGATCATGAAGTAAACTTTGAGCTTTCCCCAAGTACTCAGACATAGGACAATCAAAATCATGAATGGCAAAGGTAGACATCAATTTTTGACACACACCATAGAGTCGTTGCGTATCATTTGTGTACAAAGCCTTTGCCTGACTCTAAACAGCCTCACAAGTATTTGCACGCTGAAAAATCTGCTTAATGGAAGGATGAAGAGTGGATTTGATAAGACTGCACAATTGAGCATCAATCATCTTCCATTGCGTGGGCTCATTGCCAGCAATAGATTCAGCCTTAATAGTGAGATGAGATGTATAATTCCGCCCATTCAACCAAAGTTGCAGATCTGACGACCAAGAATCATAATTTGACCCATCCAATTTATCCACACTCAGCGAAGCAAGGATATAATTGGTAAAAATAGTAGACTTCGACTTGGAGCTCGCCGAAGACCTGGAAATAGAAGAGGCATGAGATACAATAATCACCTAAAAAAAGGGGGGGGAAAAGATCAGAAAATCAGATCATAAAACTAACTAGAAGGAGGGGGATCTGTGTGTCACCAATAACGAGGTCAAAACTCCAAAACAAGAACAAATCTAGAACCGTCTCAGAGAGGGGAGAAAACCCAACCGGTCGCCGTCGGAAAGAAGGTGCCACATGCTGGCACAGAAGAACACGCACAAAACTTTGAGACGCGCGAGAGACACTTTCTTAGGACTAGACCTAGAAAGACGGCACCACACAGTCGAGACGATCACAACGGTAGGTGGCTCGCAAGAAAAAGCTACCAGACGGTGGTGGTCAATGGCGGAGTCGACTGTGGTTCAAGAAGAAAAAGGTTCACAAACAATCCAAGAACAAAAGAGATCTCCGAAAACTGACAAGGAGACAATATCCGAAAAAAAAAAAATTGGATCAGGATGTCTCTTGTTAGGCTCTAGAAACCATGTTCAATAACAAGAGACGAAAGGAATATTAAAATAAATCTGTACATTGGATTGATACATGAGTATACAATATATATAGAAACACTAATGGACTTAGCCTAAACCTAACCCAAATCCTAATGAAATAAGGAAATAGATTTTTTTATAAATAATAAAGATATTCTTTCCAACAATTACTATGTCATGTTTGTTACCAATGTCTATATTATCATTATTGTCAATAGCAAAGCCAGAAAATTTTGTGAAAATGGGTGAGGAAAATAAAATTCGCACTAATTTTGATAGGATAACATGACAGTGAATCGATACGTAGCCAGATTTGAAGAATTCTCCAATAAAAAAAAATTACATGAGGAATAATAAAGACGAAGCGAGGGTAAACTTATGTTACACTATATTTCTTTTAAGTCCGAATGTATTATAAGACAAATGTTGACGAACTTAGAAGACGATCCCTCCTCCTAATCTCTCCCTCACTCCACCACTAATCATCGTGATTGTTATCACTACCACTGTTGTCATTTTTGTCATTACCATTACCAACCACTGTTGTCATTGGTGTCGTTGCCACCATTCATTCTACGACCATTATTTTTGTAAGCTTAACTTTCTTAATGATGTTTATTAGATATTAGGTATAAGGGTAGTTTAGTATTTCAATGATATTCTAGAATCTTCGCTTGCTCTTTTATATAAGAGCCTTATTGTACAAATTAATTACCTAATCAATGAAATCAATATTTTCCATTTTATCACTTTTATTTTCTAATAATGTTCATCCCGTATTTAATGATATTTTATGAATGCAAAAAAGGAGATTTTTGTCTAAACAGATTCTTTACATTATGAAGTTATATTATACTTATACAAATATGAACTAAATGCCTAATAGAAGTGTTTATAAGCTTCTTTATTTTCTTTTATTTTAGTAAAAAAATAACTGTCCATTCAAAGATGCCCATCCTCATTCATATTATCCTCTTAATTCTATTATGTCTTGTTAATTGATAATATCAAACATTATACTATCAACGGAACAAAACAGGGCATGTTGTATTAAAATACTTTGTTATTTTCACAACTCTCCATTTATGCATTTGGACTTGGCACTCCCAACTAGGGCAAGTAGAATAAGAAGAAATTTTGGATTCTAATAAGTCGTAAATCGACCGAAACAACTAGTTTCTTGGCTATCAATTCAATTTCCCAATAAAACAGCATAAATACCTTTGCTAAGTGGTAACAATGAGTTTATAAAATACTTTACATAAACACTAATTCCAAATGAATGACATGACCGCAACAAAATAACTTCTGATTTAATTTATGACCTAATAGTCTAATACCATTCACCTGACTGTCATTTGTGGAATATAAATTTTGATGACTGGAAACACATTTTGGCAGCTGAATGCAGATATTGAATGGCAACAAATTTGACATGTTACCATGTGAGATGCACAATCTCTCACTATGTGAATACTAAATAGCTTTTTCAAAAGTTCAAAATGTTTATGTCAATCATTGTCAATCTCATTAGTTTAGGAGCCCAGAAATCGGGGGCACAAACAAAGGTAAGACAGATGATGTCTGCTTTCATTCTTTACTCAGAGAAACCAAATGGGGCAGCGGCTTCATAGTTGATAAGTTTTCAAGGTATTCACTTTTGGGTTTTCACCAATCACCATATAGTACGCTGGAGAGACTATCTATCAACAGATTGAAGCTAGGAAACGAAAATGATACATACGTTGTTTATGTTAGCAGCTCTTCATGTATAAGAGTTTGAAGGACAGGAAAAAGAAACTGAAGTTTAAAATATCAAAGCTCATTATGGGGATTACGAATTCATTTGGGCAAACTTAACTGACATCATAAATGGTTAGTCTCCTTTGAGCCTACAACCTGAAAAGCACCAAAATACATGAAGATTCAGAAACGTCCAGTAGAGTAAAATTAGCAGACTTGAGTTTCTTCCTCACGTGAATAGTTGGGGGCGGCTACGTGAGAGCTGAGGCCGCTTTATTGGAGAGAGTATCAAGTTCCTCAATGTCATGGATGGGTTACCAGTAGCATTAGACCCAAAAACAGGGTGAGCACCAAGCCTTCTGTTCCCAGCATCTCCTGTAATGACTGGTTGTTTTGCCGGTGAGCCAACAGAGATATCAAAGTGACCGGAGTTATTGCTATTCTGCCTTGCTGGCCATACATCCTCTCTTGGTCCTGGAGTGTCAGGAGTGAATACCGGACCACCTGCAACAAATAAGTTATCTAATTTTGGAAATGTCTAAGCACAAACAAGGTTATATAGTTCTTCATGCTTTCATTATTTTATATAAATAATAAATACTTCATTTGGTTTTAAAAGCTAACTCATTGACATTAAAAAGTTGTACCCTCTTACTGCTGAAAGCAAAGGATTACCTTTTCTGCCGGTTTCTCTCTCATCCATTATGTTAGGTGGGTTAGAGAACAAATCAGGCTCGTTTCTGGAATAAAATTTGCTTGCAGGCTGTATGGCAGAACGCTTCGCTGACTCAAACTCACTCCTCAGCTGGTCATACATTTCATCTAATTTTCTCTTCTGCCTGAAATTGAAATAAATTTAAGACATCAACAACGAGATATAATTTGTACAAGCTGGAAAAGTGATCGACACTGACCGGGATTTTTCAGCAAATTTTTCCTGAAGTTCTTGATTGTCCTTGGTTAAGCTCTCATTTTCCTGTTGCATCATCTGGCACCTCTTAGCCATCTTTTGGTAAGCAGTATGCACCTGCTCTAGTTTTTCTGTAAACTTCTCTTGCATCGTCTCACATTTCTGACGGCATTGAGCAACAATCCTGTTCATCTTAAACTGCATCTCCAGTTCTTTTTGCCCAATGTAGAACATCACACTTCTATATGCACTCTTCATCACTAAATTTGTTTAGGGAAAAACACATGGTCCAATGTACCCTCTTAATTTCTGGAATTTCAGAATATGCACTTCGTTTACGTTAGTCAGACCGTCAGATGGTATAAGGGTGATCAATATGGCATTAATTTCATTTTTCTATGGAATTCCCGCTAAACAATGGGCATAAAGGATACATATCTGTGGAGATACTCCCGCCATTGCCATCTGCAATAAAAAACATCAGAATAATTGGCAATAAAGCTCGTGAAAGTAAAGATAAGCAGGGTTAACAGGGAATGAAATTCATCAAATTACAGAAAATATCTTGTTGTATGTACTATGTAGTTAGTAATACATAGGATAATGCTTCCTTACATTTATCCATTCGTCATTGGGATTGATATCCACAGGTTTCATGAGACTGTTAACAGGAGAAACATACAAATTAGTCAAGAACAACTCATCTGTGAGGCTTAATATTGACAACCAAAAATTTGATTATGATGACAAGAAATCACATTACGGCACAAATATTTATATAGGTACTGATTTTTGAGGGGAAAATAGTCACACCAAATGACCATTTTAACCAGTATTATATCCATGAGGCTCAAAATTGACACAACACATAATCTAGAATAAATTATAGAATCACCACAACAAATATAATTACATATTGCTGAGGGATCATTATTGCCATTGAATGACTACTTTGATTAGTATTGTATCAGGTGAATAACAAAATCACGTGTTTTTATTTGTCTGGCGATAATCAACATATCTAAATAAAATCCATACCTCTTCGAAAGGACCTGATCACAAATTGGGCATGCTCCATCGTTACTTAATATCTTATTCGCATCATCTGTGCCTTTTAACTGTGTTAAGGAAACCAAATGTATGAACTAACAACTTCAGTAACAGAACATAAAGAAAAATCAACCTAATTTAATATGATCTGTGTTGATGGAAGAACTCAAGGTCAAAATTGCTGGCATATGGATACACAATAGGTGACCACATGTTGTGGAAATGGCTCGTCCTTCTACTTCTCGCCAGCATGCATTGCATCTCATTTCAGCTGTCAGATAGTAACTTTACATGTCTAGGGTCGAAATACCTACAAGACAAAATCACGCGTCAGGATTCTTCATGGATTAATAAGACTACCGGCTTCACTCAGAGATTATAATAACTGGGATATACAATAACTGGGATTGGAATACTGAGAGATTATAATAATTTTCATAACAATGATATTGATAATCAATGCGATACTCCACTACTAAGTCTGCCAGCTGCTTCTCACTTAAAAATGACAAGCTGAGTGCAAAAATATTTGGACTTTGAGTAGGTCAATATTAAAGCCACAGATTAGTTATTGGATTTGGAAAATGCGCAATTAAGCAAGAGAACAACTTTAAATGAGAATGTAAGAATACATCTTCAGAAATATTGTCTATATAAATAGATACATTTTGCAATCAGAAAATAACAAGCTTTTAATGAATAATGATTGAATACTTGAAATCTTAAAAGGCAGAAAAATTTAACAATGATTTCAGATCACTAAGTGATGCTTACGTAAACAAAGATCTGACAAACACACGATTGCCGTGGCCTAATAGTACAAAATTGCAGAAACATACTTGGACACCTCACAACACTCTTAAAGATTATATAAACTAACTAAATTACAGTCGTAATTCCTATTATTCCGAACTGTAACCCCTCTGTGTGTGACACACACTAACCCCCGCACACACAGACTCTGATGGCTAACAGCTGCTCTCACTTTCTCAGTGAACTAAGTCGTCACTTTGTTTATCGCTAAACAACACAGCAACAATTCCCTATCTTCTAATCAGTACCTCTAACTTCTAATAAAAAACCACTACATAATGCTTGTGCTCCACCAGCAAAAAGTGAGAAAATCAAAATAAAAAATTAAAAAATGGAACGAATTTACATCCCTAAATCTTTGTATCATCAACAAATCTTTCATCCATATTCATTACCATAAAGTTCATAAATAATTAGGGAGCAAAACAGGATTAAATGACGTAGGGCTAGAGGTAGCATCTCCTAAAACAATCATGTCAACAGCTCAATCATACATCATATTTTCGTTCATAATTGGTACCAATAAAAAAAAAAAATCAGATACATGGTTGCTTCCAGAATCGAAATAACAAATACACATAACTTCAACTAAATTCCCTTACAACATGATTAGATAACTATGACCAAATAGCCAGCAGAACCAAATCCATGACTTTGTGCACGCATCACGAATTCAGATTATATTTGTTTTTCACAATTTCCACAAATTTAAGCCATAAACACTACAAATGAGAAATAGAAAAAAAGGAGAGAGAGAGATAGCGTCAGAATCATCTCTAAAATTTTACCGAAAAGCCAGCTGCTTGTTTCCTTCCTCGTTTTGTAAGAACTTCAATTCAATCACCTTGTCCGAACCTGAAATCTAAACTTTGGAAAAAATAAAAAATTACTCAAAATTATAGTGAGTAATCACTCACATTCAGAAAGAAAATCCAGAGATAATAGCTAACAACCATTTGAAATTTCGAGTATTTTCTTTTCCGTCAAGAACATAGTGGAATACTGAGAGAAACGGAAGAGATTCAAGAAGGCAGTACCTAACAAAGGATTGGAATGCAGATCGAGAATTGGAGGAACAAGAAAAGCGTAGAATTTGAAAGAGAAATCGGAGATGGATTTTTGGCGCGAAAGCCGAAGGAAAACGATATGGGCCGAAATGGAAACTGAAACCGAGAAAACGAACAACAGTGTCTTCTATGGGCTTTTAAATAGCCTGCAAATGGAGAAGGCCCACGTAAGATTGTGGCATTGTTTCTCTTTTAAGAAGAAAATAAAGACAAGACAACACATGAGGGAATAATTTTGCATGACAGTTTTACCTTTTTTATTTTTTTTAAATTACATTTAAATTTGTTTTAATATGTAATATAAAATTTTAAAAGTAGAAGTGGGGTAAGCAGTGAGTTTTTTTTTTAAATAAAAATAATCTTGTTCTGTATTTTAAGAGAAAGTAAAAATAAAATATTAAACAATCTATAAAAAATAAAATAAGATAAAATAAAATATTAAATCAATTAGAATACCGACCATGGACGTAACGTTGATGTAGGGGTTCAGTCTCCAATCAAGGCACCATTGAACTAGAGGTGTAAATAAGTTAAATAACTTGTGAATGATCTAGAGCCTAACCTACCTTTTACATCTCTTGATTTGGCCTGTTTTATAAACGAAGAAGGTTATATTTACAATTTTTTTTTTTACAACATCTTACAACCATATCTTAACACTGTTGATTTCTTCCAATCAACGATTATCATTTATTGTGAATTAATAATTAATAAATAAATTTAATTTGCAAAAATCGTAACCGTTGATTGGTGAAAATCAACGATGTTAAGATATGGTTGTAAGAGGTTATAAAAAAAAAGATTGTAAATATAATCTAAGTTCATAAAAATGTTTCTTTAGAAATTAGGCCACAATCTCTTTTTTAAAAGTTCTAGTACTTCCACCATCTTGTTGTGGTGCTTCATGATTTGTACGATCAGGACATGTGTTTATTTATGTGATTTATTTTTTTGTTAAAAGATACTGAGATAGATAAGTTAGTTGATACAAATCTTGAGAGCTGATAGTAAATTCTCATCATCCCTATTTTTTGCTCTTTTTTTTATCCCATTGACAAATTTTGCCTCTTTCCAAAATTTCTAGATGTATCATGTATGATTTAAAGAAAGAGAAAAGGTGTAATTTAAATTATTTTGCAATTTGATGATTTTTTAATTAAATGTTAATATGAATATCATGTAATTTATTTTCCATGTAGGATTAGTTAACATCACATTTTACAAAGTTGCTCGTATGAAGGGAAATTTTTTTAATATGGTCTAGGATCATCATGCTCCAGGATCATTATGGTCCTTCCACTAAAAACTTAACACTTGTACCAAATTTTTTTTTTCTTCTCTCTCCTCTATCCTCAATCTTTTCTCTCTTTCTCTTATCTCAGTCCCATCAAACTTTTGTTGGTCACAGAGCACACTAACTTTGCTCGTACTTTAATTGAACAAGACTTGTGAATTGCAGTTATACTCTTTTGATGTTTTGGATGAAGTAAAAAAGTCAACACAATTTGAATCTCTTAATAATGTTTTGATAAATATTGTTAGGAAAATAGAAGTATAATGTTGTAAGAAAGTGTTTAGGTTATGTTATAGAGATAGAGATTATGAGACCCACACTTTTTTATTTTTTTTATTTTTGAAAACAAGCGTGGGTCTCATAATTTCTATCTCTATAACATAATCTATACATTTTCCTACAACATTATACTTCTTTTTCCCATATTGTTAAACAATTTACTGTTTTTACTTTTTGGCTTTTGTTATCATCGTGATTTTTCTTTTTGTTGAGTGGGACTATATAATACATGAGTGAGTGAATATATTTCTTTTCTTTTCTTTTTGAAATGGAATTAAGCATTCTGCATCTTTGTCATTATTTTGTTTTTAATTTCTAGTAACATAGTTAAATTATTAATATTTTGGGTTGTGATGTGGCTTCAGCTATTGTACTATTTTGGTTTGATAGGGTAGATTAAGTTTTGTATTTTTTAAAAATAAGTCAAATCAAACTTATAATTTGATTATTATCAGGTTAACAAGTAAAATTGAATTTGAAATAATTCATATAGACCTAACCATTTAGGTTAAAGTTAGATTTGACCCGGCTCATTTAGACAGCTACACCTTCATGTGCTTATAACAAAAAATTAAAGAAAAAAGGCGAGGGTATGAGCTATGACAATTAAGTTGTATCTCTCATTAATTGTATCATTCAAATTTATTTTAATTTTTAATTTTCTGAATTGATTTTTGCAAACTCTTGAAAAATTAGGCTTGAAATTCAGTCCAAATGAAATTAAAAGACACATTTTTTCTTTTAATTTTTTTTTTTCAAATTTTCAAAATGACTTTGGCCAAAATATAATGTTCACAAAAACAACAATTAATTATATATGCATCCAACTCGAAATAACTACATATAGTAAAGCTATAAACGTAGAGTATTTCACCTACAACAACTAAATTTAATTTGTGAGTGTATTATCTCGTGTGTTATTTTTACTTTGACCATCTCAATATTACTTTTTGTATGATTTATGCTCTTAATTTCTTTATAATATATGTGTAGATTTTATTTTAGAAGGAAAAATTGAGAAGACATAAGTAATATTTTCTATAAGAATGAGGAGGGTTCTTCTTGGTTTTTGATATTTCAAGCCAAATATTTGGCTTTTCTTTTCTATTGCTTTGCTTCTACTTTAACTCTGTGGACCAAAATATTGGGTTCTTGTGGAGGGACAAGGACTCATTTGCTACCTTTTTACGAAATTATTTACCGCAATGTTATGGTTCAGAAGTATTTTACCATGATGCCATGTTTCAGAACCATTTATCAGTCCCAGCAGATCCAGTTGGACCCGTCAAAAAAGGCAGTGTTTTTTTATACAGTTGGATTCCTGTTTTGCCATATTTCGCGTGGACGGAATCTGCTGTTAGAAACAACGGGTCCTGGACTCATCATTTCAAAATGTGACATTACAGTAAAAAGTTTCTTAACCATATGACATTTCGACAGTTAAAATACCAAATCATGGCATTTTGGTTCTTGTTGCTATTGTGGAAACCAATTTGACTTCTAGCTATTCATTCGAAGTGCTTTTACAAAACCAAGCGGAAAGGCTGCATGCTTAGTGCCCCTTCTTTTTTTATGGACACAACAGCTTCTTGTCTTCATCCTCACTACATTGTTTCAATTGAAGACCACCTACTAAATGTCACTCAAACCTAAATTTCAATTACATTACAGTACCTTTGGGACAGTAGTTATAAGAAAAAGAAACCTAGTAGTTTGATCTTCATCATTTAGCCATTCAATGTAAGATTTTCTTCTTCTTTTTTGGATAAATCATAAATATCTTCCACAAGAGGCAATCCTGTTCGAGTCGAAAATATTCACGTTAATGTAAGATTGTTGTCCCCTGCATTTAAGTAACTTATTATTAGAAAGGGAAATTTTAAATGCCCATTGTTGGGTTGTTGTCTTGCTGATACCTCTTCCAAATATTTAAGTAGAATTATATGGTTAACAAGTAATAAAGAGGAGAATTAGAGTGTTCATCTCACTGGGAAAATCAACAAGCTTAATAATGTGAAGATAACTCAATTATCACTTACCGAAACTTCTAAAAAAAGAAAAATAATTTAAGATTGAGATTTGAGCTAAAACCAAGTAAAAACAGAAAGTAAATGCAATTCAGAAATAGATTAGACAAAGCAAATGACAAAATCTCTGAGAAAATGAGGTTGGGTGCAGAATTTCCCTATTTTCAATGATATTCCCTTCAAATAAACTATTGTAGGAAAATGGCCAATAAACCAGCAAAGTAAATCAGTAAAACACCTTATAAAATAAAATAAACTGAATCTTGTATTGACAACAATGACTAAAGAACGCTTTTCAAAAAAAATAAAAAGACTAAGGAACCTTTAGATCGTGTACACACTTGTCCTCATCTCAGTGGCTAAGATTGATTCTTCAAAAATGCATCATGAGATTTTGTCATTTTCCTCCACCAAATAACAGTAGAATATTCTTCATGATTTTTCTTTCCTCTTTTATCTTCTAGTGCTTTTTGTCCTTCCAATCATAGCCATGCAAATGGCGCGCAAGCTTCCTACGGTTCATTCCATCAAAAACATGCAAAAAAAGCATCATATTTACATATTTTCATCAAAACTAAGGTAAAACAGAATTCAATGACAGAAACCATGAAGTGCTAGCATAGCTCTGTGAGCAGAAAATAACACCCATGCATTAGTTTATGCTTTTTATTCAGGGAAGTGTTACCATACTATTTTTTACAAGTACTGACACCCAAAATGAATGTTTAAACATTTTTAACGGTCGATTTTATAATAATTAATAAGATACCCAAATAAATACATTTATCTTGAGATAACGGGACTAGAGCCACTTGTATTCTTATAAAAAAAGAAAAATGGGACTAGAGCCCCAAAGAGAAATATTAAACAGAAGGCACACACTGAGTAAGAGCTCTCACAACAATAGCTAGCAGACAGCCAATGTCATTAGGAGAATAAGAGGCGTGTCTCAGACATAGATCAACTCTTCTTGAACCATATGATTTCCATGTTTGTCAGCTTATTGAATGACTTGACTTCTCAACAAAACAAAGTTGATTTCCACCTTCCAATGCCGTTCAAGCATAACTTTTCATTTGCTTGATCAATTGTCATGTATCCATGTTACCCATATCTTCTTCCCTTTACTCGAATCTTCTTCTTTTCTGTTTTTGTTTAAAGTTATCCGTCCACTCCACTTGAGGAGAGATCCAACTGACACCACATACATTTTCATAATCACTAGAAACGATAACATTCTTATCTGGTGCATGGCAGTGCTCTGTTCTTTCATCAATTGGTTCTTCATATATGAGATAAACTGCTGTCTTTTTAACAAAGAATTCATTCTCAAAAACAACAACAACCATCACTTTGTTACCAGGTTCTATATTTGATGCTACTCTCTGCCACTCCTCATCTTCAAAGGAGGCTAATGCTTCTCTCTTGTAAAGCTGAATGGTGGTCTTTGTGTAATTTATCACCAACACATTTTTAAGACCATCTGATGTTAACTTGTCTGGGGTAGAAGAATGGACAATGCACAACATTGTCTTCAAGTTATGCCCGTTCACTTGAGGGACTTCGAAACTTACAGAAGAACCTTCGCATTTGAAGGTTAACCAATATGGATAATTATCACCAGGGAGCAAACAACCACCACTCTCACTGATAGTCATATTCTGTAAAAATGAAAATATGCTCAAAAATTTATTCAACAATATATTAATTCCCCCGTATAATTCAACCAAAAACAACATAATGTTCCTTATAAGATAATTACTCATTTTCTTATTAATAAAAGTTATGATCATTTGATTACCAAAAATAATAAGAGATGATAACATACAGAAAACAAGATTTTCTTGGATCCGTAAAGCAGAGACTATGTTCCTTATAAGATAATTACTCATTTTCTTATTAATAAAAGTTATGATCATTTGATTACCAAAAATAATAAGAGATGATAACATACAGAAAACAAGTTTTCTTGGATCCGTAAAACAGAGACTATTAGTCCTACTTAAAATCAACAACATAAACAACATCTTTATCCCAAACTATTAGTCCAACTTAAAATAGCATAAAAAAAGTGAGAGAGCACGTTTCCAATTTCATTTTTATATATATTCGTTATAAAAATAAAATTAAAGCAAAACTGAAATGTGAACCGTGTAGAGTGCAACAGATTTTGATAGAACAATTATATGTTAGAATTGTATGGGCTTTATTAAGTAATGTTATTTTAGTATTTCAAAATATTCGGGTTAATAATATGGGAAAAGTGTCTATACTTTTAAATTACACAACTTACATCCTTTCACTCTCACAAAGAGGTGGGACCCACAACTTTATTTTTTTTTGTCAACTCTCTCTCCTCCTTTATCTATCTCTTTCTCTCTCTTAAAATGACACAACTTTACATCCTTCAAAATTATACACACTTTTCCCTAATAATATTCCAATTCAAGTTATTTTCCTATCACGGTAGGTGTACACCAAGGTTCGGCTCTAAATCCTTATCTCTTTGCCTTAGTTATGGATGAACTAACAAAAGATATTCAAGAGGAAGTGCCATGGTGTATGCTTTTTGTAGATGATATTGTGCTTATTGATGAGAACAAAGACAGTGTTAATAGAAAACTTGAATTGTGGAGAAGCACATTGGAATCTAAAGTATTCACGTTAAGTCGGAGCATGACTGAGTATTTGAAGTGTGAGTTTTCTTTGGTAAGAGATGTAGACCAAGATCTCGTGCATCTAAGTGGTCAAGAGGTACCCAAGAAATATGCTTTTAGATACCTGGGATCCATTTTGCAAAAAGGTGGAGACATTGATGAGGATGTAAATCATAGAATCAGAGCAGAGTGGAAGAAATGGCGTAGTGCATCTGGGTTTTTGTGTGACCGCAAAATCCACCCTAAGTTAAAAGGAAAATTCTATAGAACAGCAGTAAAACCTGCAATGCTATATGGAGCTGAATGTTGGCCAGCACATAGGCAACATGAGCATAAAATAGGAGTAGCAGAGATGAGGATGTTAAGGTGGATGTGTGGTTATACGAGGATGGATAAGATAAGAAATCAACATATTCGACGAAAGGTAGGAGTACTACCGGTGGCTGAAAAGATGAGAGAACATAGATTGAAGTGGTTTGGGCACGTAATGAGAAGGCCATTGGATGCTCCCGTAAGAACAAAAGTTTGTTACCAAGAGCTCAACACAAAAAAATGTAGAGGTAGACCGAAACTTACTTGGGGAAGGTAGTAAAACAAGATTTAATGGAGTGGGATATAGATTGGCGGACGGTATGCCTTAGAACGGAATGAAAAAAAGCTATAAGTATGGTGGAAGGTTAGACCCATTGTTATTCCTATGTTCCAAATGGTCAGTTTTTAGTCCTTTTCCTCTTCATTTCCCCTTCTTCTTCTTTTTCCCTTCTTTTTTACTTTTATATATATATTATTACTATTTTATTTATTTTTATTTTATTTATTTTATTTTATTTTATTTTTACATATTTTTATTTTATTTTTATTTTTATCTTTTTTCAACCTTTTCGTATCTTTCATTTGGGTTCATCTACCATCGACCTCAATTAATTTGAGATAAAGGTGTTGTTGATGTTGATGTTGAATATATACTAATGATGTCACTAGCACTACATACTAACTAAAGAAAAACTGAGATTCTATTATTTGACATAGGGGTTTAGAGGTGGAAATATACCCAGGCAATAGTTAGAAGGCCAGAGGCCATAAGTGTTAGTTATTGTTTGTATATGGTTAGTTAGGCAGTTAGTAATTGGTTGTCCGGAAGTTAGAGAGTTAGAATCACAGATGTGTATAAAAAGGGCATAGTTGTCACTATTAGAGGCTTTTTGGCTGAATTAGTAAGTGACTGAGTTCATTCTCGATGTGAAGGGAATTCTCCCTTGTGAAGAGCTCTTCTTTTCTATTCTTTCTTTGTAAATTCATCAACAATACATTTACTTTCTCTCATTTTCCACATCTCTCCATCATTCCTAATACTATTAGGTAACAGAGTATCATGCAACTAAAATAGAGTTGAGAGAAACTGGAATTTCAAGACACTGTTAACCACATCAATTGACCACGTAAGTGTAAATCCAACGGGAGTCTATCTGTGCTACGCTACGGTGACTAATTAAATAACCACTCACTTTCCTAGACAACAAAGTTATAATTAACTTTATCTTAATTCCACCGGTCAAGAGATCAACAAATACGCCAATTGAAGTAAAACACAAGATTAGCTTACCCAAAAAAAAAAAAGTAATACACAAGATTTACATGGGAAACCCAATTGGGAAAAACCACGGGCAAGATCAAAGAAGATTTTCACTATGTGGAAGAAATATAACCTCTCTCTAAAATACAAGAGAACAATATCACTCTCTCTTATACTATGCGAATACACTTAACTCAAAATATCACTCAAGAGACACTTGGTGTTTTTCTCTCTAAAAAGGATGTTACGAGAACTTGAACTTGTGGGATTTTGAGATGCTAAAACAATTTCGCAAGTACCCTATTTATAGGCATAGGGTGTTGCAAACTTTGGACCACCTTTCTCCCTTCCACAACTTGCAGAACGTGGAAATAATGTGGTACCCTCTATTTCAATGGTAAGTGTTCACCATCCAAAGACTTCAACCACAAAAGTGGCTTTAAAAATGTCATTGCATACATCAATCTCCCACTTAAAGTCACTTTTGGTGAGCTTTTAAAGTCTTTCATTTCTTGCCAATTCTATATTGCTTATGTTTCTGATAGACTAAAGGACGATCATCACCATATGAACTTGTCAGCATTGATTGGTTTTGTCATGACATCTGCAAGATTTTCTTTGGTGTGTATCTTCCGCATATCTATACTCTCTTCTTCTACTAATTCTCTAACAAAATGATTCTGAGTTCCTATGTGCTTCGTCCTTGAATGAATGGTTAGATTCCTTGCAATGTGCAAGGCACTTTGACTGTCACAATACACAATTATTGACTGTTGTTTGTGCCCGAGTTCTTCCATTAACCTTTGATTTTAAATTGCTTCATTGCATGCTTGTGTAGCTACCATGTATTCAGCTTCTGTAGTAGACAAAGCTACCAGAGTCTGTAATTTTGATAACCAACTTACTGCTCCTCTTGCAAGTGTAAAGACATAGCCTGCAGTACATTTTCTTATCAAGATCACCTACAAAGTCTGAATCAACATATCCTCTGACAATAAACTTTGATCCTCCTAACATAATGCAACACGTGAGGTTCCTTTTATGTATCTCAGAATCCTCTTAACAACATTCCAATGCTCTTTGCCAGGATTTTCCATGAAACGACTAACCATACCAACTGCTTGAACAATATTTAGTCTCGTACAAATCATTGCATACATAAGGCTTCCCATCGCTGATGCATATTGTACTCGAAACATTTCCACCACCTCTGCTTTATTGGTAGGACACATACTTGATGATAATTTGTAATTGATAGGAAGTGAAGTAGAAATTGGCTTACAATCTTGCATGTTGAAGCGCCACAAGATTTTCTTCAAATAATTCTTTTGAGAAAACCAAATCTTCCTATCTTTTATGTCTCGGTGAATTTGCATCTATAAAGTCTTGTTTGTTGGTCCAAAGTCCTTCATATCAAACTCCCTAGCCAATTGTGCCTTCAATGCTTGGATCCAATATTTGTTGGGGCCTACCACCAACACGCCATCCACGTACAATAGCAAAATGATGTAACCATTATCACCAAACCTCTTGTAATATGTACAATGGTTTGAACTGAGTTTATTGTATTTGAGGAAAAAAATGAAGGAATCAAATCTCTTGTACCAACATCTTGGCGCTTGCTTTAGACCATATAGAGATTTGGTTAACCTGCAAATCAAGTTTTCTTTTACTTTTTCTTCAAATCCTTTTAGTTGGAGCATGTAAATCTCTTTTTCAAGTTCTCTACAAAGAAAAGCAGTTTTTACAACTAGCTACTCGAGATGAAAACTAAAGGCAGCACACATAGCGAGAACTACTCTGATAGTGGTAAGTCTAATAACTAGAGAACTTTTGAGCATATCCTTTGACCACTAGTCTTGCCATCTAGTTTGGTCTTATTGACCCATTTGTTACTAATGACTTTTCGACCTTATGGAAGAGCAACAAGTTCTCATGTCTTGTTTCTATGTAAGCTTTCATTTCTTCTTACATTGCTTTCATCCATAGAGAAGCATTGAATTAGTCATGGCTTCGTGAAACATTGATGGTTCTCCTTCTGTAAGAAAACAAAATGCATCATGGCTTGCCATAACATAGTCTAAGTGCCATGATGGTGCTCATATTTAGCGCATTGATCGTTGAACTTCTGTATCATCAGCCTTATTTGGTTCTTGTTCCTCATGCTCCGGTTTAGCTTCATAGGAATCATCTCCATTATTCTCATCTATCTCAACAGTAGTAATCTCCTTAGAAGTGTTGTCATTTTCTTGTTCTTTTGTAGTTTATTTTATGCAAATAGTACATCTCTGCTGACTACAACCTTGCAGGTGAGATCCCACAGGCGATACCCCCTAACACCATTAGCATAACCTAAGAATATACATTTCCTGGATTTTGGATCCATCTTGATTCTTTCTTGGGAGTTGTACATCACAAATAGAGGACATCCAAACACATGTAGAGAAGAATAATTTGGTGGCTTACCATGCCACATCTCTATTGGTGTCTTTAACCCAAATGTTGTTGATGGCAATCGATTTATAACATAACAAGCGGTCTAGATTGCTTCTACCCAGAAAGACTTGGCTAAACTTACAGTTCTCAACATAGCTCTTGTTCTTTCAAGAAGAGTTCTATTTGTCCACTTCGCTACACCATTTTGCTGAGGGGTATAAGCATTTGTGAATTGCCTTTTAATACCTTCTTGCTTGTAAAATGAAAGAAATTCACCATCTGTATATTCTCCTCCATTGTTTGTCCTCAAGCACTTGATCTATTTCCCATATTCAAGTTCTACTTCTGATTTGAAGTCTTTGAAGGTTTGGAACACATCTGACTTCTTCTTGATTGGGTACACCCATAATCTCCTATAGAGTAGCCATCAATTAATGATACAAAATACTTTGCTCCTCCTAGAGACATTTCTGATGAGTCCCACACATCAGAATGAATCAAGTCTAATATGTGTTTTCTCCTAGCAATTGACGTAGCAAACTTCAATCTACTTTGTTTACTTGTAACACAATGCTCACATAAAGTTAAATTTACTAACTTGAGCCCGTGAAAAAAGACTACACTCTGCAAGAATCTTCAAGCCTCGTTCTGACATGTGGCCTAGTTTGAGATGCCACATTGTTGTTAATTCCTCTTGACTGGCTGAAGCTACTAGTGCGTTTGCTTCTTGCAATGTATCTACCATAAGCATGTAGAGATTTGATGCAATCTTCTCTGCTTTCGTCACCACAAGAGCGCCTTTCACAACCTTCAAGATCCCTCCTTCAGTATGTGTCTTGCATCCAAGGTCATCTAATTGTCCAATAGACATTAGATTCTTCTTTAAGGCCTTCACATATCCTACCCCTTGAATTGTGTGAACAGTACCATCATACATTTTTATCTTGATAGTACCAATTCCTACAATCTCTAAGGCATGGTCATTTCCCATGAACACAGATCCTTCTGAGACAGGTTCGCAAGTGAAAAACTAGTATTGTCGTGGATTGATGTGCCATGTTGCTCCGAAATCCACTATCCAAACATCAGTGAGCTGTTTTTCTCCTTTAGAACTGATTGCTGCTTCGCTGTATAAGATTTCTCCTTCACCAGAGGTACTAGCAACACGTCCTTGAGAAGCATTTGCTTCATTAGATTTCTTTGTACTCTTTTTATTATTCCAACAATCTTTCTTGAAGTGCCCTTTCTTTCCACATTGGTAGCATTTTATATTCTTCCTTTTTCTTGACTTTGATCTACTCTGATTTTGAATCTCACTCGAACCACATTCCATTGATCTTCCTCTCATCATCAACAAAGCCTCTACTTGCTTTGAATTTTCCAATCTGTCCACCTTATTCTTCTGTCTAGATTCTTCTTCAAGAATTGCAACAGCAGTATCATTGAACGACAGGTTGTTTAATAATTCTTTATTTGTTATGTTGATGATGAGTTGATCATACGAATCAAGTAGAGTTTGGAGTAGAAGCTCAGCACGTTCACTTTCTGTTACATTTAATCCAATGTTGTGGGTTGAGAAAACGTATTCAGATTGTTGATATGGTCCATTATTGTTGTGGACTCACTCATTCGAAGAGTATAGAGTCTCCTCTTTAAGAATATCTTATTGTGAAGAGATTTGACCTCGTACAATTTGGTGAGCACATCTCAAATTTCCTTTGTCGTCTTCTTTTCAACAACACTTCACAAGAATGAATCTACCATCGCTAGGTGCAGATTGGCAACAACATTGTTATTCATTTCTTCCCACTTTTCTTCTGTTACTTTTGTGAGTTTGTGATGGGCCATGGGCCTAAAAGTTAGTGAATTAGTTTGTTTGTTTGCAGCTAAACAATTGTTCTTGCTCAGAATTGCCTTCATCTTCAGCTTCCAAAGGGAGAAATTACACCCATTGAACTTCTCAATCTCAAATTTTGCTGCTATATTGTTGACAATACTATGATTAGTAACTATATCGGGTTACATTATGGTATCGTATACATGAACAGTACCATACGTACAAATAGTACCGTATACTAGAACAAATTCAGTATGCGTTAACAATACTATAAAAGTATACCACACGTGTGAATAGTAACCGTAAACAATACCTTAGCGTGAATAGTAACTAATAATGAATCAGCACTGATACTACTGTTAGGTAACAAAGTATGCAGCTACAGCAGAGCTGAGAGAAACCAGAATTTCAAGATACTGTTAACCACACCAATTGGCCAGGTAAGTGTAAATCCAGTGGGAGTCTCTCTGTGCTATGCAACGGTGACTAATTAAATAACCACTCAAGAGAGCAACAAATACGCCAATTGAAGTAACACACAAGATTTATGTGGAAACCCAATTGAAAAAAACCACAAGCAAGATCAAAGAAGATTTTACTATGTGAAAGAAATTACAACCTCTCTAAAATATAAGGAGAGTACAATATCAATCTCTTTTATACTAGGAGAATACATCTCACTCAAAATAACACTCAAAAAACACTTGGTATTTTTCTCTCTAAATTGAGATGCTAAGAGAACACTCTTGAACTTGTGGGATTTTGAGATGCTAAAACAATTTGGCTAGCACCCTACTTATAGGCATAGGGTGCCGCAAACTTTGGATCATCTTTTTCCCTTCCACAATTCCATAATGTGGCAGCCTCAATTTCAATAGTAAATGTTCACCGTCCAAAGACTTCAGCCACAAAAGTGGCTATAAAAATGTCATTGCATACGTCAAATACCCCATTATTGTCAACTCTTGCCCTTAAGAATCCAGAGCCGTAACAGATTCATGGATTTCTCTTTATGACGAACATATGGATGGACTGATATTAATTACCTAAAGAGTTAATATATCTATTAATAGCGGGTTCAATTGGTCTAGATTATCGTTATTTGTACATTTTTATGAAATTCTTTTTGTAAATCCTATACAACTAGCATACAATGTATTATATATGTGGATGCATCCTCACTGAAACAACGGGTTAGATGTATGTGTGATTAATTTTAAAAAAGGTTGATATGAAAGTTACTTATAAATTCAAATATTGATTAGTACATATATTTTACTACTGAATTCTCATATTATAGTTAACTTTTGTCTTTAAGTGAGTATCTTTATAGGCATTACTATGAAACTAATTTCACATATATGTTCACGTCTAGCTACTAACTAAGAGGTCCTTTCAACAAGGTTTTTTTTATAAAAAAAAAATATAAATTAGTGTCAACTATGAAAAAGTATGCAAAATGAAAGTATATATTCTGAAATATCATTTGCATATAAGGCATCCAAAATTTTCACAGTTAAGCATTTTAATTGGATGCCTTATATGCCGCAAAACCAAAATCTCCTATATAAAAATATAACAAATATATACAAGCAAGAGAGAGATAGACACAGTGAAACCTGTAAAATGGTCTCTTTCAGAATATTGGTGACTTGGCAATCCATTCCCATTTGAATCAAAAGAGATTTCAAGGAATTTTTGGATCCTGAAAGGTGCACTTGACTGCTGCATTCAATTAATGCAGAAGTATTCATATTTGATACTTTTGATATTATTGCAGTGGATTCCAATTCCTTAAAATTTGTGGCATATAAGGCATCCAAAATTCTTTCTGCATCTCGTGATAATTGAAGTTCTGAGCCGCACTCCACCCAAAGACTACGAAGCTTTGGAAGGTCCTTGGAAATAGATGATAGATTGTAGGAACTACTATTTGGTACATTTAAAGAAACGAGAGATGACATGCCCGCAAATGTTGGAACTAGAAATGAGAGATTATTTGTTGGTGACATCCAAGACCAAATGATGGAAGGAAACACGTCCCGTGAGAATCCTTCATAGCCGCACAGAGAAATATATCCAATGCTTTTTAACCTTACTATTGCAAAGGGCACTCTTGTTATTGCAGTTTTATCCGCAATCAGGGTGGTCAAGGATTCCATTTGTTCCAAGTCCTCTTCCAACTTGTCAATCATTGAACATCCAGAAAGAATGAGAGTTTTCAGAGATTTCAACTTATAGATGCTTCTTGTAAGTTTACGAAGGCTAGTACAGTCTTTCAGATTTATTAGAAGAACTTTATTAAGATGTCCAATGGTATCGGAAACCTCACACAAGCTTGGACAATCTGTGAGTACTAGCTTTTCGAGATTAGGCAAGTTTGAAAAGTCTGGGGTCTGTGTCAAATAACGAGAATGGCTAAGATTGAGAATTTTCAGCTTCTCCATCAACTGCAAGAAAATAAATGTAATAGAGAGAAATTAGGGCATGGAAGCAATTACAATGTGTCACTCACCTTGAGAGTGGAAAGTAAAATATTTACTCTGCTGTAGAATCATTTCTCTTTAATGCCGATCTATAGGTTTTGAAATTTGAATTTAGAGCTTCTTTAATCAAATAGTCAAGATTGCATTCCTTACTTTTCCCTTGTTTATATCATATCAAAGTTTTTGCACAAGATTTAGGTGGTCATGTGTTTTGTCTGCTATAGTTGAAAAAGCCTTCATGTAATCAAGGTGCATATTAAATATATAAATATAACTCATTTGATTAGATATTCTCCCGGAAATTTAATTTTGATTCATTATCAGTGTAAAACTTCTTTACACTGCCATCTAGTTATGTATTGCTAAATTATTAAGAAAGTTTTATCATCACAATCGCTATATAGGAAATCTAAGTTTTTAGATGATGCGCTAACCCACATCATTAGATAATAGTGTAAACAAATTTTATGTTAAAAGTTAATCAAATCTAAACGCATCTCGTAATTCCTTAAGTTTTTAGAGAAAAAAAAGTTTGTAATTCTTAATTTTAAAAATTGGAAGAACTAATGTTGAATATTCGTCAAACTTTTTTTAGTGTATTTTCTTGCAAAATTAGAAACACTGAAAGGAAGAGATGAAAACTCTGTTTAAAAGTACTATATAATAAAGGGTTTAATGTTTCTGATGGTGTAGGCGATAAAATTATCAGCTACACACATATAAAAGTGTGTGAGACTCATACGGAGCCACGTGAGGAGAAGAGTGAAAAAATAAAACTTAGACCCCATACACTTTTATGTGTGTGTAGGATATAATTTTATCTATGAGAAACACTAAAGTCATTAATAAAATAGTATTACAATTTGAGATGCTTAATTCAAATTGCATCCATAAATATGAGAAGTGAAAACAACTCATGAAATGCAAAAATTAAACACATAATTAATACCTGGGCCTCTTGCCACACAAGTTTGACATTGCTGTTTTCTAGCTCAATGGAAACTAAATTTCCTTGATAGAAGTTTGCAGGTATGCATGTTAAAGGAAATCCATGCCAATGCAGCCATCTCAGATTTCTTGACAAATATTCAAAATCTCCATCAAGTTGTATACCGGCAAGTTGAAGCAATCTGAGTTTCTTCATCTTTTTAAACGCTTTAGTACTCAAACATTTTGTATTAGTTCTTGGCAACTTCAAAGCCAGTCCCTCAACCGCTTTTGTGCCCTGTGAAATAAAATGGACCGAAAAATGAAAAACGAAAAATTTAAAGATATAAAGCACCAAAAAATCTTGTGAAGAATGCCATCATTTGTTACTCGGAGCCAGCAAGCACAAAACAATTCACAACCAAACTAATTTTGAGGTTCTCGTGAAAAGCAAGATAACAAATGAATATTAACAACTGACTCATAAATCTTTATTTTGCTTCCTTCAGCTATAGATATTTTAAATCCAAAAACAATACAAGGAGTTCTTACAGTTTGTTCTGATAATACATCAAGCACATCCTCATGAAACCATAACCTGCTACGCTCCTCAGGCTCCTTTGGTGATTTCTCACGAATGATTTCTCTTCCCATGTCTCTTAGCAAATCATGCATTCCAAGCTGGTTCCTATCATCAAAAGTTACCAGGCTTCGCTCAACAAGGACACTAATTCCGATCTCTGCAAAATGTCCACAGCCATTTAATATATGTATGACATCATTTCGGTCCATCCCAATAAAAAAACAAGCTATATCAAGGAATATTTCTTTCTCTGTATCATCATTTAAACCATCATAGCTTATTTTTAACTTCTTCTGTACTTGATCATTGGGAATTCTTTTGAGTTTCTCCAATACACTCTTCCACTCTATTACCTCCCTGTCAAACAAATAGGACCCAAGGACTTCAAGAGCTAGAGGCAATCCCCCAGAATACGCAACTACATTTCTGGAAAGTCCAGCAAAATCTTCTCTAGGACTCGACTTCTTGAATGCATGCCAACTAAAAAGTTCAACAGATTCACTTTCATCCATTTCTTTCATTCTGTAAACTTGGTCAACTCTATTCCCTGCAAGTATATGCTTATCCTGGGTTGTGATGATTATTCTACTCCCTGAACCAAACCATTTACGACTTCCACACAAAGCATTCAGTTGGTCCAATTTATTCACATCGTCAAGTACAAGAAGTACTCTTTTATGGCAAAGTCTTTCCTTTAATATATTTTTCCCTGATTCAACATTATGTATCTTTGTTTTTGATCTTTTGTAGATATCAAAGAGAAGTTGTTCTTGTAAACACATTTGGCCACCATCTTGCTCCCAAACTTGCCTAATATGTGCGAGGAAGCTCCTACCCTCAAAACTGCGGCCAATTGTATTGTAAATGGCTTTCGCAATGCTTGTTTTACCAATTCCTCCCATTCCCCACATCCCTAGTAGTAAAACATCATTTGATTGTTGGTTATCTAGCAACTGAATCATATCTTGGACTCGAGTTTCTACTCCCACTGGATTATCAGCAATGAACAAGTCTGTCTTGTCTAGCAAACGTGTAACATTTTCAACAACCTTCTCGATAGCCTCACTCTCATTCCTATAAAAAAACGAACAAGACAAAAGGTGCATTCATATTTGTGTCAGAAGAAGAGGGGATATTTGTGTAAGAAAATTATAGTTGTGTGTGTGTGATTGCGGGCATGCGTGTGCAATTATCTTTTTTTATGCTAACAACATGGCGAGAAAAAGCAGATTTCAATTAGAATTTCAGGTTTCAACTATAATGTCACACATTTAAGTAAACAGGGAATGATTCTTCCAAATGCACTGAATTATTTGTGCAGAATGAGGACAGATTGGAAGAAAAGTAAAAAAGAATTACTAAGAAATTCAATTTAGACAAAAGACCAAAGGGTATCACTGTCAAGTGAGCGCATAAAAGATGAGACCATTTAAAAAAATTCTTTATATGAAACAGTTTTAATGTTAGTCAATTATATCCAGAACTGACTTGTTCAGTTTTCAGAAAAAAATTCTGTGTTAACATTGAACAGAAGTTCAATTTATTATTGAGTTCAATTCAATAACAATGGTGTTTAACGTGGTGTGCTTATGTCAAGAGTCTGGTCTTGTTCCATTTTCTTTCTTGTCCACTGCTATAAATTAATCTGATCTTGAGAAAAACAATTTTCTGTTTGTTCATATATGAAATGGAATAATAGGTAGCTTATTTGGAATATCTGGATAGTTTAACTTACATGGGATTGTTTGCTATTTGGATAATTTAAAAGGAAAGGAGGAGTACTAACTAAAATAGTTGGCAAAATAGTTTTTTCTTCAACTACTTGGCCACCAAACAGTTTAGGCAAGTTGGTTTACATAGATTTTGATAGATTTTAGTCATTCTAGATCTATCTTGATTTTGTTTCTTTTTTGCTAGCCATATGATTGAATTCCACTAACAATGACCGAGCCTTTGACAGCCTAGTGTTTTCGGATTTTCATACTTTACTAGATATTTCCTCCCCTGTCTAGCTTGCAGCTTCTGATGCTTTCTTTTTATTGCTAACTTTGTCTCAAATTTTGTCGGTACTCATTCTTCACTGGTTGCAACGCTTTTCATGTTAGAATGATAATGCTTTCTTGTCAAGCATTTTGATTACTTTCAATCGCAAACTCTTGGCTTTTGTAATAAGCAGTAAACATTCTAAAAATTTACAATCCACTCGCTTAATTTGATATACATGGTGGTCTAAGAGTAGTATACCAATTCTTGTAAAGTGTACTATATACCAATTCATTAAAAACATAATATACAGCACAAACTACATAAGCTATTGAGTTAAATTTGAAGACTAAATCTCTATTATTCAAAATACTACTCTCAAAGTATGCAAGTATTTTTCCTCTATATAACTTCCATGTGTCCAATTGTGTCTCCTGTATGTAATGTAAACTCCCTTGTACTTAATTTGTTACTCCATTAGCTTATACAATGCATGGTATTGGTACTCACTAGTCACTACCACTTCCCAAAAGTTTTACATAACAAAAGATACATCTATTACCATTCTTATTCCTCTACTATCACTTCAACCAACATTTGTTTGATTTCATAAAATACCAAGTAAATAATTCTTATTATTTTATCAAACCATCGTTGTTAACTAATTATAAGTGTTAGTTAATTTCAACTATCAGTTTTCTAGTTTTTTTTCTAAATACTTAATTACCCTAATTACTCTCATGCTGCCATGTACCTTTCTCTTTTACTTATTTCCTTTCTATAAAATGCATTAAACACAGCTTCTCAATAACAAAAATAATAAGAAAAAAGGTTAAATTAATAGAGAAAATGTTGATAAGATAGAAATCTCTTTTCCAAGGTTAAACTGAATACGTATCTTTGAAAATAACAATATCAGTGAAGAATTGTCCCTTTCTTTAAAAATTCGAGTGATAAATTTCAAAGCACTAACTGTTAAATTACCTGGAATCTAGGACTGCAAACCCTGAAATGCCGCTAGCATCACGGAGCGCCATCCTCCAACGCAGCACCTTGTCTTCCTCCGTTGAAATTCTGTTCAAATGTTTTTGAAATGCTTTTCCAAACTTACCTGTTTGATGACGTACTTCTGAGGGATCTACATCATAGAACACAGGCAGAACCACCTGGCCTATGGTTCTGTGACACTCCATTATTTTTTCCAACTCTTGTAGACACCATCTTGAATTTGCATAATTTCTTGAGAAAACAATAACAGAGATTTCAGAGCTTTCGATTGCTCCCATTAGTGAGGTGGAAATCTGATCTCCCATCTGAAGCGAATCATCATCAATGAAAACAGTGATTCCGGCATTTTGAAGAGAGGAATAGAGATGTGAAATGAATGATGCACGAGTGTCTTCCCCTCTGAAACTCAAGAACACTTCATGGATCCCTGGGAATTCATCTACTTCTGTCCGATTCAATATAAATATTGTTAAATGATAATATAAACCGTTAAAATCTTTGAAGTAGAACAAGCTCTCTCGACACGTATGAGAATATAATATAAATTATTAAAAAGATTTTTATGCAGTTAAGATTTTGGATTAAAATAATTCTTTAGATGGTATCAAAACTTCAATAATCATAAGAATTTGATTCATATTGCCCTCACTTTTTTGTGAAATTAAATAAACATAATATAAACAAAAAATTGGATGTGCCTACAGGGCTATTGAGTGAGAAGGTGTGTTAGAGAATAATATAAATCGTTAAAAAGACATGGGGTACGATATTGCAACAACCAATTAATGTTACTACCATTGTTATTACCAATCAATTTCACCGTTAGATCGATTATGTTGATCCAACGGTTATATTTATTTACATTTTTGTATGATCATAATTTCCTATATTTAATATGAAAACATCAAATACAAGAACTCATAACCATAAAAAGATGAAAATAAATATAAAGTATTAAATATGGAGAATCATAACTATACAAAGATGAAAGTATATATAACCGTTAGATCAACATAATTGATCTAACGATAAAATTGATTGATAATAACATTAGGTGGTTGTTACAATATCCTTCCCCAAAACACATTCACTTACTAACTTAAGTTTTTAAATTGAACTAATTCTTTACAAATATAAATAAATATAGAATAGATTATACTTACCATTATTTTTATTCTCTTATGACCAAAGTTTTTTTAACGATAGCATATTATAAAATTTGAATAAACAATAACAAAAATGGTTGCAAGAGTGTTAGGAGGTCTGAGAGGACAAAGACACATTCTGCAAGACTTAGTTAGAGATTACGTGGCTTAAGAGATCTAGGAGGTTAGATTCGATAAGGAGTTAGGGTGAATTGCGATGTTACAGTCAGAACTCAGAAGGTTATTTACCTAAAGAGTTGCATGTAGATGAGGCAGTAATGTATTCTGTTAATAGAGCCGTGTACTATAAATAAGAGAGACGCATTATGTGTAAAAGTAAGCAATGAATAATTCCCTTCAAGATTCGTTTCTTTCTCTAATCATTTCTTCTCTCTTCTCTACCCGATGGGATAGTATACTCTAATAAAAAGATTGTCGGAAACTCACTTGAAATGATTAATTTAGCTTAATCCATTGGTAATATGGTCCTTATCAAAAGGGCTCCCGGAACCCCCCTCACACCTCCCTCATAAATAAATAAATAATTTTGTGATTACAAACTCAATTCATGTTATGCAATAAAATATATATAATATACTTACTCTGTCCGCGTTTAGGTGGCAAGCGACCTTGGAGCAAGGAACCGGAGGAAGAGATGGGTGGGAAGAAACCAAACCATTCGAATTGACACATACAATTGTTGTGCAGGGGCAGAAAAAACAGGAGAAGAAGAATAATGCCTAGCATAAAACTAGACGGAGACTGCAAAACTTTTTTATAAAATGGCTCTCTGGTGACATATCCTTTCAATCCAAATCCATCTATTTCTGGTCCATTCAATAAAAAAATGAAAAATAAATGAATTAGTGATCTCAAACTGATCAATTCATGTTATGCAATAAAATATAAATAATATATTTACTCTCTCTGCGTTTTTGGGGCAAGGATCTTGAGGAAGACATGGATGAGATGAAAGGAGACTGACTCAGAAAACTGCAACGCAGCAGGTGTGGAAGAATCCGGACAAGAATACTAGAGCAGAGAGCGTTCTGTAAAACTAAACGATTAGTGCAAAACTTTTCTTTAAAATGGCAACTCACAATTCCCATCACACCCAAATTTCATAATAGTAGAAAGTAAACGCTCAAGTCAATTGCTCAAGTAAACGCTGAAGTCAATTGAAAATAAAAATTATATATATATATATATTATTTAAATGAAATTTAAAGAACATACATTAAAAATATTTAAAATTAAGAAAAAATTATAATTAATTAAAAAATTTGAAATGTTAAAAAATAAAAATGATATATGTTATTTTTTTAAAAGAAAAATAAATTGAAAAATTAAGTTACTTTCCATATAATGTATTCTAATTTGCTTACCAAAAAAAAAAAAATGTATTCTAATTTAACATATAGAGATAAATAAAGTGTGTGAATACCCAATGTGCAGCTCAGTTGGTAACTTGGCGCTGAGTTAGTGGAGTTGGATATGTGTTCGATTCCCGCTGAATGCATTCTTGGGGAGGGGGCTGAACCTTTAGCCATCACTGTTCCCCCGCACTCCGGATTAGTCTCATAGCCGGCTCAAAGAGTCGAAGCTCGTGGAGATACCGGAGGGAGCCAACTCGTCTCAAAGAGATAATTAGGGTTGAGTAACTCCAAAAAAAATAAAAAGAAATAGAGTGTGTAAATATATATATATATATATATATATATATATATATATATATATATATAAATATTTTTTATTTTATTATAACATTTATTAGATAATAGTTCTGTGATTTTGTTAGTATAGGAATAAAGGATAAGAATTATATAAATTGTTATAGCTATCGTTAATTCAAAAGTAAATTTCAGCAATTATTTTAAGGATTTGGTTCTTTTTTTCAGTGGGAAGTGTGCTTTATTAGTAAAAGATTAAGAGAGTAGATTTTAATAACTTTACTATTTATTATATTTGGGTATTTTTTTTCACAATCTCAATTATAACTCTTTACTTTTTTTCGTAGTTAAATTTTTATTCAAAACTTTTATTATGTATCTTAAAATATTATATATTAAAAAAAAATTATTTATATGCTTTTAATTTTTTACTCATTTTACGCAAATTTAAATAAAATAAAAATATAACATTATGAAATACATATATATTAAACAAAATTAAAAATATTATTTAAATATGCTTTTGGTAGTAACAAAATATGGGTTCTAAGTGATGGGTTTTGATCGATTAAGAGCATCAGGAATGTTCAATTGGTGGTTGACGTTTCTATGTAGGATCAGACACTGCAACGGGTAATAGATCACTGCACATAAAGAATAACAACATAGGCAGTGTGCACAATGACAACGAAAAAGTAGTAGAGCATAAAAAGTGTGTACCTAATAGTCTTAATCTCATTTTATACGTGGCTTATTTTATGATTGCTGGTCAGGGAGGATAAGTAGCCTATCACATATCTTCTAGGTAGTGTTTGGTTGGAGACTTTTCAATATTTTCATGGCAAAGTGAGAATGGGTTTCTTCCTTCTCTACGTTTGGTAGATGGATTTGGTGTCTGTTGCCCATCAAAGATGTTTGTCTAGCAATCTATGATAACAAATGAAATCTGGATTTGAACAGTGTTTAGAAAGCCTTTTGTGAAGGTGGTATTGTCTATAGAAATCGGATAACTGAAAAATGGTAAAAAATGCATGACAAGCTTACCCCTCTAATCTTAACCGCACGTCGGTAAGAGGAAGAGGATCAAAACCAATTCATGAATACGCATGCTTTAAAAAACTCAGTAATTGCTATTGAAATCAAGCCAGGCGAATATTCATGGGAAACAAATAATCAAGCCCACAAGAAACCAACAATTCGAATTACAAAAAAGTTAATGATAAAAAATGGTCGGAAGGTAGCAGTTTGTGGATCAGTGGGGTCTGGAAAATCAAGCTTGCTGTGCTGTATGCTTAGTGAGATTCCATTAGCTTCTAGGGCAGTTCAGAGCTTGAAGCGAAAGTTCAAAGCTTGAAGAGATGGAAAATACAGAGATAAGGAAAATATTGACGTTGGTAGAAGAGATGTCCAATGATAGACTACGAATATTTTTGGGGAGGGTTCATCACATTCAAAAAAATAAAAGGGTTAATTTCGTAATTTCAACATATTTCCCCATCTTTATTTTACTCTCAACCAAACATGAAATTCGGAAATTTATCAATTTTCCCGGTAAAATTTCATTCAACCAAACAACTTTTTTTCCAGTTTCCTACCAAACTTACTTTCCAACTATTTCCCTATCAATTACATTTTCCTAGTATTCAAAAAATTTCTCCTCAACCAAACATTACCCTAGTGATAAGATAGTTATTATCCTTATCTCCTTTAGTTGATCACTTATTATTAGGTTGTTGAGACATAAGCCCGTAGGATGGGTCTAGAATAGTTTTCCCCACTCTAGCAGTCCGAAAACTTGGGATGCTAGGTTGTAATGTTATTTCATATGTCCCAGCCATGTTCGTGGTTGGGGTATTTGGGACCCTATTTAGTTGATACTAGTGTGCCGGATTTAGGCTGCTTTACGTATTGCTCTTTTGGATGAGTGTAACAGCTCATTGTACACCGATATGTTATCATTACATATGATATTAAGCATAGTTATAATTACAGCAGATAATTAAAATATGATAAAAACATTTTCCTTTTTAGCAGTATTTTGTATTTATCAAAATCCATAACTGTGATTATAATCAAATTACAAATATAGAACATTAATTTCTATTGTTTAACTATCATACAACACTTATCTAAGGTTGCTAAGTGGTTCTCATAAACTAACAAAGTTCAATTCACAATTTTACACTTTCCTACACAGAATATGCCATGATTTTATTAAAATTGGGCGCGATTCACTTGTCAATAAATTTCCATCTTTTAATATGTTAACCTACACTCGTTTAGATTTCCAACAAGGTATCACAAGCCTCAATTGGAGCTGTATAACTCCGGATATGGCCATCGTAAGGCAGACGTTCAAAATTGTCAACACTGCATTTTCGGGTTCACCAGTTCCCTCACTATTTTTGCGACTGTGTGAGATTCACTACTCTATTTTATGTAAAATGTTAATATGTTACAGTAGACACCTTGATCTTTAATTTGATATATCATAAGCCCAATTTGGAAAAGAAATGAGAGAGATATTAATTTTTCAAAATCGCATATAGAGGCTTTTGAGAATTTCGCAAAACAGGGCAGTCCTCACTCATTTGTAAACTGGGCATGATATACAACACATAATGGTCCCATATTTTAGAAAAGTATAGGGAGCATCCTAAGCTTTAAAAAGGTAGCTCACACACCTTATTTTACCAAGAAATAAGGGAGATATCGACCTCCAAAGTTAGGGTTAAAATCACTACTTTTCCTAGAAATTTTTGTGACACCTCTTTTGTTTTGACAACTAATTTCTTTCTTCAATTATGTACCTAATTGACATGGAATGGCATCCAAAGGTCCAACAAACCTTGTACATTTACATCCCTTACTACAAATTACGATATGTTCATTACTTAATTCATAAATCATTCTCCATAACTTACTTGAATTACAAGTTATCCTTTATTACATTTATTAACTTCACCGAAAGCAATTCATATCATTTTCTTCAAATGCTCATTATCCAATTTTCATACATAACCCATATACAACATCAATACTAAAATAGGTCTAATGTCCTTCCATCAAATACATCAAATATTACAATTCCATAGTTCTCAAATGGTACCAATTAAGATTACATTTACAGCAACCTATCAAATTTAATTATTACATATCCATGGCCCCCCTTACTAAATATTACAATACATAATCAAATGACTTAAAAACAAAAGTATGAACAACCTTAGGCATGGTAGTGCAACATCATGTAAAATCAATGTTCATACCCTAAATCGATAATATCAAAATGAATAACTACCATGTGCATCAATATAATTAATCTCCGAAATGCCAAATAATGCCATGCACTCTATACGTCCAAATCCAATGCCCTAAGTGGGCTTCTTGCCCAAGGCTCCACCCATCTACTCAATTGTACCTGAAATGATGTCCCCCAAACATGGGTTAAAATTTGACAATCTCAGTAAACCATGGGTCCTGGAGGGTTGCTCCACCCTATGGCTCACTCAAATGTGCATACAGAAATAACATTCATACAGTACAACATATAAACAAACAATCAACTAGGCACAGATCCGACAACATCCACTTAGGGTTATTGTTGAAGAACCCATCATATAATTCCCGAGGCATTCTTAGAGTGCTTTCAGCAAATAATAACTCTAAGGCACAACACTAACTGGAATTCCCTCAAGAGACCTATCTAGTGGAAGTCCCTCCAACACAATTCTACTAGCTAGAGAATATATAGAGATAAGTATCACACAACATGTTCAAATGCATGAGCATACTCTATCAAACATTATCACGGTTAATAAATTCCAATCACTATCCCAATGGGCATGGTGGAGCACACAAGGAGATTAGCCCTAGGACAAGAAGTTTACCTTTTTGAAGCTGCCAAGATAGATAACTTCAATTCCAAGTTACTTCATCCACAAGCAAGCTCACAACACAATTTGTGTCAAGTCACCTATTCAAGGTAATTTTCCTAATTAACATTTGCAATCAATTCAATGATTATCCACAAATACAAACACATAGAAATTCAAGTCCAATGACTTACCAAATCCTTGATGATCAAGGACAATGGCTTCCCAAAATGAAACTCCAAAGTCAATCCTCTTCAATGGGATCTAAGAGAGGCAACCTACAAGATCATATCTCAATGTGATCATCAATAACTTATTAAACAAGTTACAAATCAAAACATAAAATTACAACCCTAGGCAAAACCTTAAGTTCGACATTTAGCCCCAAATCACCACCCTTTGTGTTTTGATCCAATTCAAACAATCTCATCACTTTATTAACATATCACAACACCACTATACACCTTTAATCCTTCACAACAACTTAAACAACCATTTCCTCCTAATTAAAGCCCTAAGGCCGAGGATGTAACAACCCATTATATACCGGTGTTGTTAACATTGATTATGATATTAAGCACAGTTACAATCACTGCAGTTCATTGAAAAATGCGAGTAAACTTTTTCACATGCCCTCACAAAATATAAGTGGTCATATTAATACACTGCTTCACATGCCCTCACTGACCAATTGTTTCATTTCCCTAACCAAATTTTTGCAATGATCGATGAAGTCACAAATCTCCATTGGGGTGCTGAGGGGATTCACCATCATGTCGGCTATCTTCAAAAGATCTGGAACATCTATGATTGCCCTATTGGCAAGCTTGGCCAAATTTGAGAAACGAGTCATCTAGAAAGCAACATCTTCTCTAACCTCAGCAATGACTTCTTCTCGCTCTTGAATATGGTCTCTTAACCTTTGCATATTTTCCTGCCCTCTCTGGATCATATCCTGATATCCGGCCACTACTTCTTCCATATGTTGTTGTATATGGGCCGCTTGTCTTAATGCATCCTTTTCAGTCGCTTTACTGCTTCTAAGGGACTTCTTGATTTGTTGGTTTCCAGCCAAGGCCTTATCCCTTTCTTGCCCTCGAAGTCCCAACTCCTTGTTTGCCGCTTTTAAGCAATCCTGTGTTTTGAGCTTGAGGTGTTCTTCGGTTCTAGCCTTCTTATTAGTCCTTTCAAAACTATGGTCTCTTTCAATGTTTTTTCGTTCCAATGCCCGACATGTTTTCCTTGTTTCCTCCAACTCTTGTTCTAGCTTCTTTTTCTCTATCTCGACCTTCATCAATCTAGCCTTCACTTCTTTCAACTCTACATCTTCAATAGGTTCGAGAATTGGTGTTTCGCTAACTACAAGAGTTACAGAAGTTTGGAACGGTAACTTGACTTCTTTAACTTGGTCTTTAACCCATTGACGATAGTTTCCTTTGCAATCACAGCTTCTTACCCCCAATTCTTTACCTTTTCGTACTACCTTGTCCCACGCATTTCGAACCCTTTTGATCATTGTGGTATTTTCAGGGCTCAGATCATAAAGGAGGAAAGAAATTGTCATGTCTTCAGTAGGAGCTTCTTTCATAGGGTAACCAAGTTGTCGCAAGGCCAAAGATGGATTGTAATTGATACATCCACGAGTACCTTGCAGAGGCACATTGGGAAAATCTCCACATTGGTAAACCAAAACTTCTATTTTTGCCCATTCAGGATACCATCGAACACTTTTTCCATCAAGCTTGGCTAAAGTTTCCACCCACTCGCAACCACTTTTGGCTTTCAACTGATACATCCGAAAATCAGCGATCGGGCAAGCCGCTTTGTATCCTCTGTAAAACATGTGAGCAGTGAGCCATATGAACAACACTAGTAAACAACACAAGATTCGCTTCCTTTTCCTTTCATGACAAAAGCTCAAGGTATAGTAAACATCAGGAAGAATGGCTGGGACTGGGTTTTCACGTTTGAATTTGCGTGCCACAAATACATCAATGGCCGCAAAGTTCACAAATTCATCAATATTAGGGAATATGAGAATGCCATATATAGTGAGGGCCAACACATCAATGAAAGTGTCCCATTCCCCTTCTTCTGCTAAGTGGTGAAGATGTTCTTCAAGATACTTTCTCGAAAATCCCACAGTCTCATTTCGAATTTGCTTCCTTTCTTGTAAGTCTCTCACCTGAACTTTCAAAATCTCAGCAACAATGTGCATGGAAGGGTAATGCCCAATGTAACGATAGGGTTTCTCCTCTTCTAAAGATAACTCGAAGATTCGCTCAAATTCTTTTTTTTTTTGTAGGTTACAGGGAATAGAACACACACTCACACACACCCTATTACACACACCCACACCACTAGGCTAGCCCTAGTGGATTAGATTCGCTCAAATTCTTACAATGTAGGGGCTAACTGAAAATATTGAAAAGTAAAGTATCGTAGAGGTGAATCATAATACTGTGCAATTGCAGTGATTGCCTCAACTTGAACATCCACCTCCAGTAAATCCAAGACATTCCCATACTTTCTAGCGAGGTTCAACTGTTGCAGTTTCTTTAACATGCGACCCAAAACCTTCAAACTCTCAGTTTCAGGTTTTTTAGCTTTGAGATGCAAAGTTTTCCTCAACATTGATGATTGTATCTCACAGTGATTTGATCCCATATTTATAATAATAATACTCACGATCAAACTAAAATTCAACAGTTCTCTAACAAACTTCCTGAAATAGTGTAAGATAGATAATGTGGGTGAGTGAGTGCAAAGAATGATGCATGATTTTTTTTTTTGAATTTTTGAATTTTTGAAATTTTTTTTTTAAAATGACAAAGATAATATTTATGCCTATCATGATTCGTTATGAATTTGCATGAGTAGTTGAAATATGAATTCATGATGATTTGGAAATATGTAGAGAATAAGAATAAGAGTATGAAGGGAATATGTTTTCTTTGTGTCATGATCAATTTCTATTGAATTGCATAATCTTACTTTTATTTTTCAGGTCAAAAGGTCTTACTTATGTGTGGTACCTCTTATTTTGGTAGTTCTATAACTACGGGAACCTTGGTCTCTAGAGCTAAGATCTCATTTCGAAAACATAGTCAAACAGGACGTACGTCCAAAATGGCTATAATCCCGAAATAGTCACGCTCTAGATGAGGCTTTCATGATAACCAAACAGGATGTACATCGAAAATGGATATCACTACACAACCTCCTTTCTATCTTAAGTTCACTCAGACCCGGGTATAGGGCCCCACTCATAAGCGTGTGTGAGTTGTGTGCTAGGAGTATACATACATGTACATCCTAAATTAATTAAAGTCTCAAGGTTGCAAAACAATAACAAGGCAGGACATATACAGAGCAAAGATCGTCTACCCAGAGGTTAAAGTCAAACAAGATATATACTTATTAATGCAACTATATATACCATCAACACAATATGTTCAATAATGATACTTATTCAAAAGATATAAATGAATACAAAAAAGATGGGTGAAACAAAATAAATAAAATTTATGAATAATTTGCACAACTAATAAAATAGGCTTGACTCTCGGAAATGTCCCCAGTGGAGTCGCCAGCTTCGTAACCGTATCGCGACGTGACGGCGAAAGATATTGAAATGGTTAAAACAATGGAGTCGCCACCAAGGTTTATTTAGGAAAACATTGAAAAAACCTTTTATTTAAGACAAATGGTCTTTGACAGCAGAAATGGGTTCGGGAGTCGATTACGAGTAGGGAAGGTATTAGCATCCTACACCGTCCGTTAAAAAACGGTTACCTTATATCAATTGTGCAAATTATTGATAAGATTTTAAATATCTATTTCACCCTAAAAAAATTAAATAAAATTGACTGTTGGAAAAGAAAACTAATTTTGAAAATGTATTTTTGTGCTTGACGGGATGGTCCCGCTCCGACGTACCCCTCGGTACAATAGGGAACTCAAAGCTACGTCGTTTTGTATGACGATATTTGTGTGTTGATTGATTTTAATTTTGAAAGTAGTTTTAAAGAAAATAATTTGAAAGTTTTGGATTTGATGGTTTCGGAATATCAAACTGTCGCAGTTAAAATAATCCGAAATGATAATTGCAGGATTAACAAGCTGTCTCAACTCAGCTAATCCTTTCTTTTAAAGAATAATAATATTCATATTAATATTTTTTGTTATCGTAAATTTTATGTTAAATTTGATTTTATTTTGAATCACCAAGCCGTCACGGCAAAAATGAGTCAAAACAAAATGCGTGGGGTTAACAAGCCGTCACGGCTCAGCTGACTCCCATTTCAATTGATAGCAAACTAATTTTTTATTCTTTATGTTTTAAATTAACCCAAAATTAATAATAAAAAAATATGACTATTTTTTTGTTTATTTATTCTTTCTAAATGGTCTAAAATTATCGGAATGTCACAGTTGAAATGATTCTGAAGAATAAAGGAATTAACAAGCTGTCACAACTCAGCTAATCCTTTTAACATATATTTCATGTTATTTTACGATAAATTTAAATGAATCTTGAATCACCAAGCCGTCTCGGACAAAATGATCCAAAACAAAATCTATGGGATTGACAAACCGTCGCGGTTAAATTACCCATGTAAATTTAATATGATAATTTTTATTTAGAAATATTGATAAGAGCTAACTGGATTTTGGGTCATCGTTAGTATAATGTAAAGAAATATTATTTGAGAAATTGCAAGAATGTTTCCTGACTGTACAGACCATAAGACTAACGTTTACAAATCTATAACATTAGAATATTTCTTCCTTCTTGTTATATTAAAAATAAACATAAAAAGGGGTTATGTTAATCTCGTTATTATAATGAGGAAAGGTAGAAGTTAAGTGAAAGAAAAGGCACCATGACTCGTGAATGTGTAGGGGCATGCACCAAAACAGAAGTGATGTAATCTATATATTATTAGAATATTCAAATCATGTTATAACAAGACAAAGTATTATGTTACCATGGTTAATATAAAGCAAATAAATTGGAGTGAGTCTAACAAATGGCATATTGCTTCGTGAATGTGCAGGCCATGGAGCTTATGTTTGATGATCCATTAAAATATCTTTTTAACAAGAATCAAAAGATACAAGGAAACAATGCCATATTAAAATATCAAAACATGCAACATGACAGCATTGCATCGACTGATAATGTACGTACCTAGATCAAGAAAACTTTTTTTAACCAAAATATTGAAACTGACCTTGAGTTTAGAATCCACGGTGGATTGAAACTGAACACGATACTCCTTTTAGCATCTTGATCGAAATGTATTGTGACTCTTGGAGGTTGCCTCAGTCAGCGGTGGTTGGCAACTGGAACTGGTGCATGGAAGTGGTGGGTAGATATAGGTGATCGGGAATGGAAAAGGAAGGAGAAGGTTCAGCAAAATCTCCCAGATTTGATTGACAAAGTTAGGGATAATAACTTAGTCTTGGATCCTTTTTTGTGATGAAGATAGAATTGATATCTCTTGTTGATATTTTTCACCTTTTTTTCTTCACTTCGTTCTGTCATCTTGGTATTTATAGAGCGATCCTCGGAGATTTCTTCACATGAGGGTTTCTTGCGTTTCCTCCTTGATCAAATCATACACGCTTTTTTATTCAACAGTGCGGCCCATCTTACTCCCCACTGTGGCCAGTTCCAAATTGGAAGATGATGCTCTTAATAAAGAAGATGTTCAGAGACAGAGAAAAGGACCTAGGAGGGTTCAAGTCAAGGAGAGCCTTGATAGGGAGGAATATTTCAAGTTCACCCACTTAAAATCATTACTCATGTGTATAAAGAAGAGACTTTTGATCCTAAATTTGCAAAACTTATCACTCTTAGGTTGGAGTGCAATATATATTTATTATACACTGCTCGATAGTTGTGTAACCATTTTTAATACTTAGCATAATATATGATATGGATTTTTGTGCATTTAATGTATTGATTAAGGAGATTTGATATTGATATGTTGTTTATTTTGATTATATTTTTTTATCATGTGTGGTACGTAAAATTGGAATTAATTTTGTAGAGATAAATTAAAAAAATTCTAAAATTAATTTTTTTTTCTAAAATTAAAAAAAAAATCTAAATTTTTTTGACGGAAATTCATTGATTTTCCGTCGAAAACCATTACAACAATTTTCGACGAAATTCATTGATTTTCCGTCAAAAACTTTTGACAGAATCCATTTTCCGTCAAAAACCATTACAACAATTTTCGACGGAATTTTATTGATTTTCCGTTGAAAATTTTCAACGGAATTCGTTTTTCGTCAAAAATCTATATATCAGTTTTCAACGGAAATTCATTGATTTTTCGTCAAAAATTTTTGACGGAATCTGTTTTCCGTCGAAAACCATCACAACAATTTTCGACGGAATACTATTGATTTTCCGTCGAAATTTTTTGACGAAAATAAATTCCGTTAAAATTTTTCGACGGAATGTAGAATTTTGTCGAAAAATTTGTTATCAACGAAGAGAAATTCGACGGCCTGTATTCCGTCGATAATTCCGTTGAAAATTTTATTTTCGACGAAATTTTTACCATTTTCGACAGAATTTTGTCCGTCGAAAAAATTGACTTTTCTAGTAGTGACCAAGTCAGATTCTAGTCCACCTAATCTGCTATAGGCGTATGGGCGTTCAGATCTTCGAGCAAGAAGAACCATGGCGGCCTCTACTTCGTGCCCGAGATGTAATGCTCTCATGGAGGACAAGTTGCATTTGTTGCGGGACTGTCCTTGGTCCAGAGAGGTTTGTCATCATTTTGTCCATGGCTACCATCGAACAACTTTCTTTCAGGAGAATGTTTCAAATTGGATGTCTACTAATCTCAAGAACTTTACAGTGGGTGCAGACCAAATTTATTGGAATCTTATCTTTGGAGTGGTTTGCTGGTTTATATGGAAGGAGCGAAACAATTTGGTCTTTAATGGCATTTTCGACAGTCCGTTGAAGGTAGGGTTCAGTGCTTACCAATTTGCCAACAATGCGCACCAAGCTGTGACTACCTTTGCTAGGGTAGGACTATCCTCTCATCCTAGGTTTGAGTCTCATGTCAAATGGAGTGCCCCAGAGCCAGGTTGGGTTAAGGTTAACTCTGATGGTTCTTGTAAGCAGAAGGGCAGGTTCACTGGGTGTGGAGGAGTAATTAGGAATAGCCATGGAGGTTTGATTGTTGGATA